CCTAAAACTCAGTGGCGGACTAAGCCTGTCGGGGGCCCGGGGCGGCAAAGCTAAATGTGGCCCCCGGTTTGTTCAGATAATGATATACTTCTAATGCACATTTTGTAAAGATTGAATGACGTATGAATACTGGTTGACAAATTTCAAGTATTTATATACTGTACCTACTAATTGTAATAAAAATCGATATATATATACAGGGTGTCACAGAAATAAGTGCAAGTATTTTAAGGGGTGTGGATAAAAGATACATATTTTTTCTTTATCGTTTTTCAATAAGTCCAAAATAACGGAGTTATTTTACTACGAAAATTTGCTAAAATTTTGAGAACCACTGCATCTTTTCTGGATTTTCTTTCTTGTAAATTTAATCTAATACCTATGTTGTCATAGTAACAAGAAATTATGTTTTTTTTAACTAAAAACTAAAAAAATTCCCAAAAAATTTTTTGGGAAGTTTTCAATTTTTTTTCGCGAAAAAAACCTCATATGCGTGTTTCTGGGGTTGAACTATACTACCAGTGAAAATACTAGCACTTATTTCTGGGACGCACCGAGAGGAAAAGACAGACACAGATTACAAGAGGAAAAACTTATTAATTATTGACTTTTTGAAAAAAATGCGTTCTTCATAAGAATTTTTACTTGTTGTAAAATGGCGTTTATTATTTCCTAAATATCCATACCGTTTTAGAAAAATTAAAAAAAGCATAAAAATGTAGTTTTTTAACGTAATTTTTTCTCCAAAAAAATCCTAAAAAACTAAAAGTCCTAAAAATTAAAAGGTTATGGTAATATAATTTCGATATCATTTTTTGATAAATCGTTATAATTAATTTTAATTAACGTCATATTTTTTGATGTTAAAGTATCACATTTTCCGATAACTATTATCACCCTTTCCGTAGCATTGAACTAAATAAATTTTGTGCTTCTTTAACATTTTAAAACAGCAAAAAATATAACTTTGATTAAAATTCTGTTAATAATAATCTATCAAAAAATGAGAACGACATTATATTACCATAGAAAGGCTAAAACTCAATGTCTAAAACGGTATGGAAATTTGGAAAAGTATAAATAGGAATTACCATTTTAGAACAAGCAAAAATTTTTTATAAGACAGTCCGCGGACATCCTGAAGATATAAACATGTTATTCATCGGCAGTGCCGTTTTTATGTAGGGACCCGACGGGCCCCGATCAGAGGATTAAGGGCCCCGGCTCCAAAAAGGCCTCAAAAACGATAACATCAATTTTTTTAAAGCTTACAATAATACATTTAAATTGAAAAACGAATGCAATTTGACGTAATAAAACAATCCCCGAGCGAATGTTTGCATATATTTAATGGCAATTTATGATGACAAAGTGATGGGAATACCGGTTCCACATATAAGCCGCGTTACTTTCGCGACCGTTCCAGGTAAATACCGCGATTTTGTAAGGGGCCCTTTACAAAATCGCGGTATACTCCTATATAGGTCCAAGAATAAATAATAATTATTCGAATATAAAAAATAATAATTATTCGATATTCTAAACAAAGAAAATTACCCCTTGGTTTAATTTCGTAAATAGAAAAATGCCATTGACAATTCTGGGGCCTAATAATTGATAATTAAGTAAATATCTGCTTCCATTTATACTGTGTTTAGTTTGCGTATACTTATGGTTTGCATACTCTAACTACAAATTGCTTTATAACTACTGAACACATATTGGCCTGTTTGCCAGTTGAATAAAAATTACTTATTAAGATTTGGTGGCCCCCTAGAAGAAGGGGCCCGGGGCGGACCGCCCCTTCCGCCCCCCCCCTTAGTCCGCCACTGCTAAAACTAAATAATCATATATGAATAATAATATACAGGGTCGGCCACTGAAAACTTACAATGGCTATAATTTTTAAACCACAAAAGACATAAAAAAAATAAAAAATACCGTTTCTATAATATCGAGAGGGAATGCATATGACGACAATACCCCTACTCACTTGAAAATCTTGTGGCGCCTTTTTTGGAAAGCCCATGAAAAATTCTAAACGATCATCATAAAGTTTTTAGGGTGAAATTGAAAAACTACCCCTTACACGAAAAATTAGGTGGACATTAATAAAAAAAGTGATTTTTTTAGCATAAGTTACAAATTGGAACCCAGCTAAATGAGGCAAATGAGGTATTTTTCAAACCACCCCGACCCACCCCTAGGTGCCACCCCCTCATTTCTAATCTCATCAATGCCATTTTGAAGCTAAAAATAAAAAATGTAGATAATAAAAAAGGCAACACAAAGATGTTTCACTAATCGTTCAGCCTAATTTTGCGATAACGCAAATTCTTCCTTATCATCTATTTTTTTACTTTCAACAAATAGGAATCTTAAAACGGTATATCTTTGCGTTTTTGCACTGTCTTCTATCGATTTTCAATCGTTTGCAAATTTGGTGGTATTTTAAACCTTTATTTGAAAGAAAAATGGTTTATACTGTGGAAGAAAGAATTCAAATAGTTTTTCTTTATGGTGCTGAAGGTATATGCTATTTGAGAACGGCCCGTGCTTTCAATGAGAGAAATCCGGACAAAAACGTGTCACGTTTATGTTAGAGATTTGATTCTAAAGTTTCAAGAAACTGGATCGGTCAAAAAAAAAGGACAGGGCCCGGGGTACTGAATGAAGAAATGCAGATGGAAGTTATTGATCAGGTATCGGTCAATCCAGAAGCATCAACACGCCAGTTGGCATCAATCACAGGTATACCTCGAACATCTGTCAGAAGAGTATTGTAAATGCACAAATTCCACGCAATCCAGATAGAAGGATTCATCAGTTCGGTGAATTAATGACGGAGGAAATTGGAAGGGAACCTTCACTCACTAAAAATATTTGTTTTAGTGATGAGTGCTCATTTTTTTAAACGGAAATGTGAATAAACAGAACTGCAGATACTGGAACGATGAGAATTCGCATATTGTTGTTGAAGGACACACCCAACATTCCCAAAAGTTCAATGTTTGGTGCGGAATACTAGGCGATAAAATTATAGGTCCATTTTTCACCGACGGAAATTTGACTGGTGATGCTTATGTGGAAATGCTAAACAATTTGATAGAGCCAGCCATTGTAAATGAGGTTGAAAATCATAAGAGATTTGGAAGGAAATTTAACACTTAATGAAAACCTCACACACTTTCAGCAAGATGGAGCCCCTCCGCATTATTCTATTGTCACAAGGCGGTGGTTGGATAGATATTATCCAAGGCAATGGATTGGCAGAAAGGGTCCAATCGAGTAGCCGCCAAGGTCACCTGATCTCACTCCCTTAGACTTTTTCTTGTGGGGTTACACAAAATCCATAGTCTACAAGACAAAACCAGGTTCGTTGCAAGAATTGCGGCAGAGGATAACTGAAGCATGTCGAAATATTCCCAGAGAGACTTTCCAAAAAGTGAGAGAAGAATTTGAAAGTCGTTTGTATTTTTGTATGAAACAAAACGACTGTCATTTTGAGTAATTGTTAAAATAAATTATCATTTTAAATTTCTTTCAAATTTCACAGTCACACCTACATTTCTTATACTACTTACCAGTAATTAAGTTAAAGTCTGTATGACCATCGTTTAGAAATTTTATTTCAATTAGCTTTCCAAAGAAGTGTCACAAGTGGTGTATCGCTATCTTGAGATTAGAAGTGAGGGGGTGGTACCTAGGGGTGGGTCGGGGTGGTTTGAAAAATACCTCATTTGCCTCATTTAGCTGGGTCCCAATTTTTAACTTATGCTGAAAAAATCACTTTTTTCATTAATGTCCACCTAATTTTTCGTGTAAGGTGTAGTTTTCAAATTTCACCCTTAAAACTTTATAATCATCGTTTAGCATTTTTCATGGGCTTCCCAAAAAGGCGCCACAAGTGGGGTGTTGCCATTTAAGATTTTCTAGTGAGTAGGGGTGCCGCCTAAGGGGTAGATCGGGGTCTTTGAATAAGAAGACTAAGGAAGGAGCATAATGCTATCCATGTATTCATGCATGGTGGGCGGAAAAAGGACTATAGGGTGGGGATCCTTGACAGTTCTGTTTGACGATTCATTTGACACATTTGAATTTGATTTGAAATTTTGTGGATTTGTCAGTCTTTACGGAGCTTATTTTATGTTATTTATTATTTATTCTACTACTAATAGTTGTATAAAGGTAATAAATCTAGATGGAAATTGAGGCAGAACTTAGTAAATTAACAGTGACACTATCGCGATTTATCAAAAAAGACTCTAAAATAGTTGGTTGTGTAGCGTGCGGTAGATCTCGGCAAACATCGAGTGAAATAATGAAACAACTTTTCGCTAGTAAGTGACTATATAATATACATACGTGTAGTAAACCGATCATTTATGAAATTCGCTTAAATTAACTAATTATATATTTTTTCTTGCATTTTTGCTTTTATTTTCTACTTGTCAAAGATTAGATGTCAAAGAATTTAGATACGTCAATTTGACTTACCTGCTTCAGTAGCGTATAGGATGTTTATGGTTATTAATAATTATTATAACTTATCTATTTTTATTAGAATTTTATATTTTTATAACAATTTTAATAACTACCAACATTTGTTCACAACGTAAAATAAATCAACAAATTATATTGAAGCTACCCCACGTCTACCCTACATCATAGTTTTATATTTTTTAAATAAAATTAGAACGGCACTGATAAACCGGAATTTAAGTCGGCCATATTTGAGGCCCATCGCGGTGGACCTAAAATTTTTAATATGCTCCTTCCTTAGTCTTCTTATTCAAAGATCGGGGTGATTCAAAAGATACGTCATATGTATTCCCCCTAGATATTATAGAAACGGTATTTTTTATTTTTTGATATCTTTTTTGGTTTAAAAATTATAGCCATTGTAAGTTTTCAGTGGCTCACCCTGTATAAGGTAACATAACAAAAGATTAAGACACCACCTGATAGGTCAAATTAATAAAATATGCTTTTATTTATGATTTGCAGGAATTTTTGTCTACTCATCCCGAGATATAAAAATCTAGACAAATGTAATTCAGCCGCCAGTACCAGATAAATTTGAATGCATCATTTTCCTACCATTAATTCATTACTTGCTCCCTTGATGCTCAACACAGTTGCTATTCGCGTTTCAGTAGTGTACGTAGATTCTAACAGAAACACACAAAATGGGTCTGTATTTATCCGAACTCGTGGTTATTGACGTTCTCTTTGTGTTAGTCGCTTCATTCCTAGCTGTTTGGGTGTATTTTCAACATTGTTACAAGTACTGGGAGAAAAAAGGAGTACCGTATATCAAACCTTCATTTCCTTATGGTATGTAAAGCATCAAAAAAAGACTCCATAACCATTAATAACGTTAAAATTGTATTTTAGGGAATATCAAAGTTATTTTTAAGAGGACTATATCTATTACCACCGATGCTAAAGACTGGTATGATGAATTGAAAAGTAAAGGACACAAATTTGGAGGAGTTTACTCATTCTGGCGTAAACGTTTGGTTCTGGTTGATCCGGAATATATTAAAGATATTTTAACAAAGGTTAGTTGAGTTTTTTTTTTGTAGTTTTTAAATTAAATTAGGTATAATAATTATTATTTATTAATTTTATGTTTCTTGTTTATTGAAATTATGTTAATAAATAGAGGCCATACTTATCATGAACTATAATCCTTTGGGTCAATAAGCGTCTGTTTATAAAAATTAACATCGATCATTGATAGTATGTAGTATTATACAGGGTGGTCCGAAATGTATTCCGGAAACTTCGGCAGCATATTCTACAGATAAAAATAAGTAAAAAAGTTCGTATAAATGTATGTTCTAAAATGCTTAATTTCGAAGAGACAGGGTGTAGAAGTTTCATTTTTATTTCGATTTTTCCCAAATAATTTCAGAAGTAACGTTTATTAATTTGGATGAAAATTAATGCCTGGAAGTTTTCTAAAATGAGAAATTTGATTTTGATGTCAATAAGGCTCCTATATGTAGGGGACTCCACCTACATGTGTTTTAACAGTTTTGAAGAGTAATAACTTTTCGTTCATACCTGTAGAAAACTACTGAGTGAACAAATATACCGGATGTTGCATCGTCGGACGGGACATAGGAAATCCCATGTAAATTTTAATGGGGTCAATTATTGGCTTCCCTAATTATTTTAGAGAATAATTCTATTTAGGTTTATTGAAGAGCACTAAAACCCACATTCAAAAGAATAACGTTAGATATTTTTGATTAGCTCGTTTACGAGTTATCGCCGATTTCTTTTTAAATATTTCTCCTTTCTTATGGCCCTGTATTTACTTATGAGCACCAGTCAAGGTAAAAGATAACTGTCAAATGAAGTTGTCATTTCAGAAATTTACCTATTTAGTGCTTTATTATTATTATTGAAAACTCATTCCTACATCGGAAATCTTAAAGATGTATTTATAAATACAAATTAATATGAATTAAAGTAAAATAAAGTAATCAATTACAAGGTTAATTATAGTATTATTGCAATATTCAATAACTTATTAATTTAGGTACTATTAAATTGTTAGAAATTTAGGATTTAAGATGTTCAAATATTCCTCCATCGACTGCTAGACAATAACCCAGGCGATCATAAAATTCTCTTCTTACATTCGCTAGTTGGTAAACTGAAATTCTATTTGATTTGGCAGAAATAGCATTTTTTAATTTGGGTATTTTTTATCCTTGTATATCCTGTTTTTTAAATGGCTCCAGAGAAAGAAATCATTTGGCGAAATATCAGGAGACCTTGCTGGCCAATTTACTGTACGATTTAGGCCAATAACGTTTCCGTTAAAACTATTGTCTAAATATTCCCGTACAGCCAGGGTAATATGTGCCGGGCAGCCATCCATTTGGTACCAAACTTCCTGGTTTTCCCTAGCGGCATCATGTAAAGCAGGTAAAATATGATTTTCGAGTAGTTCCAAATAATATTCTGCATTTAAACTTCGCGTAAGAAATAATGGCCCGATAATATTGTGACCGAATATCCCTGCCCAAACATTTACTTTCTGTGGATATCGCGTCCTTGTTTCGACAAACCTGTGTTGGTTTTCTTTGTTCCAATATCGATAATTTTGAACATTGGGTTCATTATTTAAGGTAAACGTGCATTCGTCAGTGAAACATATGTTTTTTTAAAAATTCCCTATCCATGTTTGCTCTCTCCATCATATCAAAACAAAACGCCTGCCGCCGTATTTCGTCCCTATCTCGTAGCTTTTGGTGCTTTTCATATTTGAAGGAATAGTATTTATGTCGTTTCAAAATTCGAAACGCTGCAGTGTGATCTATTCCTATTTCGTCCTCAAGTTTCTTTGTGCTGATCTTTCCGTCGTTCTCTTCTACGCACAATAAAACTTCCAAGTCGGTATCATTTCTTGCATCTTATCTTTGTTCCTGCCTTGCTTCACATCTGCAGTTATTTATTAGGGTAGCTTTGGTCCCAAATTTCTGGATATTCCTTGCGATTGTAGATTTTCCAGGTATCGGTCTATTCGGATACAGAGCAGCAAACATGTCCGACACCTTTTGATAACTATTTCCTTGATAATGCCATTTAATCATCAATACTTTTTCTTCGGTAGTGTAATTCATGGCTAATATTTTCGATGTAGGTATGAGTTTTTAATAATAATAATAAAACACTAAATAGATAAATTTCTGAAATGACAACTTCATATGACAGTTATCTTTTACCTTGACTGGTGCTCATAAGTAAATACAGGGCCATAAGAAAGGAGAAATATTTAAAAAGAAATCGGCGATAACTCGTAAACGAGCTAATCAAAAATATCTAAAGTTATTTTTATGAATGTGGGTTTTAGTGCTCTCCAATAAACTTAAATAGAATTATTCTCTAAAATAATTAGGGAAGTCAATAATTGACCCCATTAAAATTTACATGGGATTTCCTATGTCCCGCTCGACGATGCAACACCCGGTATATATTTCTTACGTAAAAAATGTCTATTGGTAAAAATCGCTACGAGCAACCGTTCTCAAGATATCTAGAATGGAAATAGTGTATACATGTCATTATTGACAAAAAACTAACACGTTGAGTAGATAGTTATTTGACTGAAATAATAAATTTAAGAAATTTTTATTTTTTAAATTAATCATAATTTTTTCCGCGAGAAAATGATGATAAAACAGTTTCTGTGACACAAAAACTTTTGACACAAAATTTATGATTTCTGTCTGATAACTTTTTAGTCAACATATTTAATTTATGTCAATGATGACAGGTATCGAGAACTATTACTCGTAGCGATTTTTACCTAGAGACCTTTTTTACGTAAAAAACGTCGTAAATGTATATTTTTTACTCAGTAATTTATACAGGTACGGACGAAAAGTTATTACTCTTCAAAACAGTTTAAATACATGTAGGTGGCGCCACCTACAAATAGGTCTGGTTAAAAAATTTTGACACTAATTTTCTTCCAAATATTGACGTTACTTGAAATTATTTGGAAAAAATCGAAATAAAAATGAAACTTCTACCCCTGTATCTCCGAAACTAAGCATTTTAGGGCATACATTTATGCGAACTTTTTTACTTATTTTTGTCGGCAGAATATGCTGCCAGTGTTTCCGGAATACCTTTCGGACCACCCTGTATACAGGACTCCGCAACAGTGCTTCGGGCATTTGTAGCTCCTTAGATTGTATTACTCTGAGTGTAGCTCCTATAATTTCAAACTTAAGAATTTTGTTAAAGTGCAAACCAGTATGCACTAGGATATATTATAGGAAAATATATTAACTTCTACAGGGTAGCTCTAAAAAGTGTGAGTAATTATTCTAAATATGCTAATGAGTCACTCTCGTTGAAGAGTCACTCTCTAGAAATGGCATGTTATTTCTTTCAGAAGGTTATTTTTCTATCGAATATAGTAAAAAAATATCGAGCCTACCATATAAAAATTAAAAGTTGTAGTCATTTCCGGTGAAACAATAAGTGATCGAAACTAATTGAATACGTCAAACAATCCTGATTTATGTCATATACATGTCGCAGGCGTATCTAATAACTCGGCATTTTGCAAAAAGACTAGGTATTTTATAAAACGCCGGCGTTTTTAACAAAAGAACCTAAATTTATCCAACGACATTTCTTGAACTTCTCTTTCAAAATTTGGAAATAATGGCACAAAGTGATAATTCTGTTAAATAGTGTATGGTTGAGGATAATTATTATAAAGATCTAAGTAAATTCATTTTATTCTAAAAGAAAGCAAAATTCCACAAGAAGAAGTCCTGTAGGTACACAGAACCGAATTACGGAGTCATCATCATCATCATCACGCAGCCCCCTTTCACGTCCATAGTTGAACATAGGCCTCCTCCAAACGTCTCCAGTTCTCGCGGTTTTTAGCTGTTGCAATCTAGTTAGCTGTTATTCGTTTCAGGTCGTCGGTCTATCGTGTGGGAGGTGCCTTGGCTACGCTTGTCGGCTCTTGGTCTCCACTCTATAAGTCTTTTGGTCCATCTCCCGTCTGCCATTCTAGCAATGTGTCCAGCCCATCTCCACTTTTGTTTTGTGATTCGCTGGACAATGTCATCCACTCCCGTACGTCGGCGTATCTCTTCATTTCTTACTCGATCTCTCAAAGTCAGACCAATCATAGATCTCTCCATCCGCCTCTGTGTCACTCTCAATTTTTCTGCGGTTGCTTTTGTTAGAGTGAGTGTCTCTGCACCATAGGTCAAAACCGGGAGGATACATTGGTTAAATGCCTTTCTTTTCAGGTGTATTGGGATATTTGCTCTAAAGATATCCCTCATTTTTCCGTAAGCCGCCCATCCCAAGGTAATTCGTCTAGCCAGTTCACAGGTTTGGTTATCTCTGCTTATTTTGATCTCATGGCCCAAGTATACATATTTGTGGACTAATTCTATTCTGTTGTTGTGAATTTGTATGTGTTCGCTGGGCACCATATTAGTCATTATCTTAGTCTTGTTAAAATTTATTGTTAGTCCAATCTCGTGTAATGCATCGTTAAGTTCTTGAAGCATGTCTTTGATCTCTCCCAGACTATCTGACATTATAACGATATCATCCGCAAATCGTAGGTGGTTGAGTCGGTGAATTACGGAGTATAATAATTAAATGAGATATTAATATTAAAGTTTTGATATATTTTCTATTTAAAGTTATGTTAATTATAATTAAAATTTATGAAATAGGATTCAAGTTGTTTTCGTCTAAACATAATAAAATTTATACATAAATAATTATTGTTTTTGTATAGGAAAATATGGGGTATTTTTATTAAAGCGTAAATTATTCAATATGCTTATGCTCATAGCTGACTAAACTTTGTTCATTTTTTAATCTGCCTGGTCTCGATTTGGCATTTTGTAAAATAACTGAAAACAGGCAAATATTATCATTGTTTAATATGCCTAATTTTGATTAGGCTTTTTGCAAAGTCACTGAAAATAGATAGGCTTTTTTTAAAAATTCCTTCTTTTTGCAAAAAGTCGGATTATTCTATACGCCTGCAACATACACATCAAATCTCGTTTTTTTATCTAAAAAAATTAAAAAGTTATAGGGTGGGGGGGGGGTTTGAGCCACTTTGAAAAACATCCTGTAAAAACTACTCCATGTTGCCCGGTGGCGTAGTGGTCTGCCAATCTCAAGGTAGTGGGTTCGAATCTTTGGTTCGAATCCTACACCCGGCATTTCATCAGCCGACTATTTTTATTAAAATAAAAATAGTTTGGGTACCTAGGTCGACTTAGCCTTAAATGAGTACTTTGGATTTACAATCCTGAGGTAATAATAGGCGGCTGAAGCGTAGTGCGTAGTGCTAGCCACACTACCTTCCTTGTATACCGAACGGCTCTAGCATGGCAAGCTGTACCTTGCTACTCCCAAGGCGTCAAACGCTATATACGGCAGCTATTGTTATTATTATATATTCTATTCATTCCAAATGTCCTTTTTCATTAGAATTTATTCCTTTTTTCAGGATTTCCAACATTTTATCGATAGGGACGCCTTCAGTAACGAAAAAGATGACCCCAAAGGAACCCATCTCTTCAACATCCAAAGTCCTGGCTGGAAATCGCTCAGGCAAAAACTCACACCCACCTTCACGTCTGGAAAGATGAAGATGATGTTCGATAGTTTGCTGGTGTGCAGCGACTACATGATCGACTACATGAAGAAAACCGTCCAAGATGGTCAGGATCTCGATTCTAGAGAGGTACGATGAAGATAGGTACTACTTTACTAACACTGTGTAAAAGAAAAATCCTTTATCTGATGAGTTGAGCAAATTGTTTGTTAATATTTGTATATAAGGTGATTCGAATTGTACAGGGTGGCGCTTCTCATACGCCGCGGAGGCTCCGAGGAGAACGATAGTTTGTATTGAAATGAAATTTTGTGAGCATATGTAGGTTAATTCAGAGCACTTTTTAAAAATATAGAGATTCTACAGGGTGGCCTCAAGAAAAGTTACATATCAAAGTTGAGTTTTTGTAATGGAACACGCTATATATTAATTGACCTTCGGATTCTGAGAGAAAAATAAAAGTTAGTTTTATAAGAGAAGTATATGACTAAAATGTAAGGTTTTTGACATATTTAACATTTTCTAGAAATAAAGAACAATTTTTAAATTAAAATAAAAGCTACCTAAATTGGAATTTACCCGGTATACTCTAATATGTATTAAAAACAAAAACTTCATCCAAAAAGTTATACAGAGTGAGACAAAATTAATATTGAATATTGGTTACCTTTAAAAGCATGTTACTCTCTTATTTTAAATGGAACACCCAGTATAATATTTCGATATTCAATGGAGAATTCATGTCTCTTCAAAATACTTTTAAGGTTGCTTTCCCTCAAACAAAAATTTTCCTAGATATTTTCATTTACATGATTTGATCTGAATAGATCTTTATTATTTGATAAAATCTAGGTGGCTGTGATATGTCTGACGTTACTTCAACATTGCTGTCATTGCCTGGAAACTTATATGGTGAAATTTTGATAAAATAATTTAGCACACACTAAAACACGGTATGTCGCTAGTGGTAGGAAAAATCATTTTTAGAGGTTACTAGTTTATTTGGTTGCCTGTGATATGCATATACAGGGTGTTTCCTAATTAATCTAAAAAATAAAAAATCGTTAGAAAACGAATTAAGGCGGGCTCTTAATAAGTATATTTATTTTTTTCTCGACAACCGTTTGATGAACAAGAAAAACACAAAAGATCAATTTTGTTGAAAAAGGATGGCCACTCAAGAAAAAAATATATTTTGTTTAAAAAAGCAGTGGTGTACCATTTATGTTAAGCAAAAAATCGATTTTTTTTTAATTTTTAACACACTGTAAATCAGAAAGGAAGTACTTTAGACCTAATGGTTATATAAAAATTGTTTTAAGCACACATGAGGAATCACACCATAACTTTTTTAGACTAATTCGAAAACACCCTGTATATTGTCAACTTGACAATGACTGCTGATAAATCAAAAAATACCTTTTCAGTGAAAAAAGCCTGATTTTCGCAGGAAAACTTTTGATTTTTATTGAATTTGGGCCTGCGTTTGCAAATACTCGTTTGTTTTTTAATTTTCTATGTATCTAAATTTTAAATATCATAGCCAGAAATAGTTTATTAACTGTAAAAATGGTGTTTTCTTGTTGTGTTGCATCTTGCAAAGAAACTAACAAAACTGCAAAAATGTACGTGTTTCCAAAAGACGATAAGGTATGTATCTTAGATAAAAGAAAAATATATGGTATGTATTCGTTGTTTGATTTTTTTTCGTTCGCTTTAAAATCTATAAATCTCGGTCTATTTATTAGACAGCCAGTCGACTTACGATCATTTACATGTAACTCTGTAAAATATATATATATATATATATATATATATATATATATATATATATATATATATATATATATATATATATATATATATATATATATATATATATATATATATATATTCTTATGTTTTATTAAAGTTACTCTGATATACTAATATATCAGTGTAACTTTAAAAACAAATCCTTTGAATTCAAATATAAACATAACAAACATTTACAGCAGAAAAGGCGAAGGCGCTGGGTTAAACCTAGTCTCCACTAAAAACACGGAGGGGCGCTTTGACCCAAAATTTTACTATTAAGTTTCATATCTATCTTAATAGTAGATTGTTTTCTTTTATCTATGATTGCTGTCTAATTAGTCCAACTTTAACAAATTAACTTTAGTTATCATTTTGTGTCAGTTAAAACAAATAAATTTCTTAGAAATTTTCCGAAAATGCAAACTTATGCTGCATCAAAAAGAATTGACATGATCCTATTAGTTGGTGAATGTAGTGTGTTTACCAATTAATAGAATACTTCAATGCTCCTGAATTTATCTAGTCTGGTTTTTTTACGGGGATATGTTAAAGACAGTGTTTACAAAACTCGACCAACTATTATTGTCGACAACATGAGAGAAATTATTGTAGCTGCTTTTCGAAGTAGAACTCCACATATGCCTTTTAAAATGAAAAGATCCTTTTGAAAAGACAATCATTTTTCAAAAGATTATCAAAGGAAGCATTTTGAGCATTTGATTTCATCTAGCTATTTTTTGTCACATAATGATAGGTTTATATCTAGTTTTAATTAAAATATGTTTTAAACGTGTATCATTTTATTACCATTAAGTATTTTACTCTACAATCTTTAATTTTTGTTAAATTAACAAAAGGTATATCACACAGCCAACTAGATTTTTCAAATAATAAAGATCTACTGACGCAAAATCATAAAAATTAAAATATATAGGAAAATTTTTGTTTCGGCAAACTTAATAATATTTTGAAGATATATAAATTCCCCATTGAACACCGGAAAATATACTGGGTGTTCCATTTAAAATAAAAGAGTAACTTGCTTTTAAAAGTGACTAATGTTTCATATTAATTTTGTCTCACCCTGTATAACTTTTCGGGTCAAATTTCAATTTGGTTATACAATGGTTACTGTAATTAAATATCAGGCTATACAAAACTAAAATTTAGGTAGCTGTTAACGAAATTTAAAATTTACTCTTCATTTTCACAAAATGTGAAATATATCAAAATCTAGGTATATGTTTTTTTAATAAAACTCACCTTTATTTTTTCCTAGAATCCGAAAATCAATTAATATATAGGGTGTTCCATTAGAAAAAAACACAACTTTGATGTGTATTTTTTTTGGGGACACCCTGTAGAACTCTCTATATTTTTAAAAAGTGTTCTGAATTAACCTACATATGCTCACAAATTTTCATTTCAATAAAAACGACCGTTCTTCATGGAGCTTCCGCGGCGTATGAGAGGCCTACCTAATTCCTAATGAACGCTCAGCCTGGGACACCCTGTATACAGGGTGGCCCATCGAAACGTCCCGCAAGGCATAACGGCCAGGGTATTGTTTTTTTTCAAAAAATCCAAAAACACGTCAATTTTGTTTGTGAGGGGGACAAATTATTTCAAAATCTTCAACCCTCTGAGCGGGGATGTCATCCCCCAACTTTTTTCAAATGGGAAGGGGGGTCAAGTGGCACCGCAATGAAAAGAGCTTTCTATTTTCTATATTTCCCCGCTTCGTTTTTGAAAATCGGTCGAGTCATTGAGAAAATATGAAGGATTGAAATTTGAAAAGTTTATATAAAAGGATAAATTCCTTCGACCAATTTGATTTTTTTTATTAGGGTAGCGCGGGGCAATAAGAGCCACCTAAGGAAAACCTGAAATAAAATGCCACTTATTCCACTGCTGGCAACAATTTTCTTTTTCTAGATAGTTCGTGATGTGTAAAATAAAATATAAGAATCTATATAAGTTCTCTGTTTTAGATAAACATTACTGGTATGCAAAAGAAAAACTAAAACCTATCATTGGCTCTCATTACCCATAACAGTGGGGAAATTAAAGCCACTTTATTTTACATATTTAAATCTGTTAAGAACATTGTCAAACAAAATTTGAATTATTTTAGGTAAAACACAAGAGAAATTAAGTAGACACAAGAGAAATTAATTAGTAAAAATACATGTCTGAACTATTTTAAAATAAAAATTTAAGTTATTTCAGTTGAAACCAAAGTTACAAATATGTTTGGAACATCCTAAAACAAAATTTAAATTATTTTAGTTAAAACAAAAGACACAAAATATGTCTGGAATATTCTGAAACAAAATTTAAATTAGCTTTTTTAAAATAAAATAAGGAAATATGTTTATAACATTCTAAAATAAAATTGAACCACCATGGGGGAAATGAGAGCCACTCTGGCTCCGATTACCCCGTTTCTTTACATATTTGCAAGTTAAAAATAACAAAATTAAATGCGCTAACAGAAGCAAAACAACTGCACAAATCGAACCTACACTTCAGTAGATTTTGTTTAACACCGCTATTTTGTTCTAAAGCAAAATATAAGTACAACTTACACTAATTTTTTAAAACGTGCACGCTATAAGAAAGTCCCGTAAACTCGATGCGTTCTCTAACAGACTTTGAATCGTACCAAAACAAAGCAGTGGTGGCTTTAGGAAACATTTAATGGGGGATCCCGCGTATCGCAACTGTCAGTGCTCAGATCAGGGCACGTTATTCAAAATTACACAATGGCTCTCATTACCCAATGGCTCCCAATACCCCGCGGTACCCTATTTCTAGATATTTACGCATTTTTTCACTTGCCACAAGGTTGAACGATTAGGTGCGGTAGTTGCTAGATAGCTGTTCTGTGCCTTGTGCGTTGAAGTTCTTCTCAATATTGTTAAACTGACCCACAATAGAATTTTATTCAATTTCTGAGGGTTTTGTGTGTGCACCTCGTGAAAAACGCTGGGGTTGTCCTCAGCCCAGTACCGACAATGCGCCGATTAACTACATCGTTCAAAAAGAAAGTACTCTCATCCGAAAAACACACATTAAATAGGAAATTATTATCATTCGGCACGCGTTCACTCATAGTTTCACAAAATTGCAAGCGACGATCAAAATTGTCTTTGTTGAGTTCTTGTACCAACTGAATTTTGTACGGGTGTTTTTTTAATATCCATTGGACATTTGTACGATTCAGGCCGGTCTCATTGGCTAATTTTCTTATACTCAGCGTACTATCCATTGCAACTTGGCCCAATACGAATACCTCTATAGCTTCAATTACTACAGGATTTTCCTTCTGCCTCTTTTTATTCATAACGGAATCAGTTTTGCGAAATTTTGCTACTAACTCTCGAACAATTTTGCCATAAAGGTGTTTGTCAGGATAGCGTTCATTGAATATCTGCGCAACCCGATTGCCACATTCATTATTTTTAAAATAAAGTTCGATTATTTCCACTTTTTTTGCAACTGAGTACACCATAATAATTGTTAAAAAGTTTAACGATATTGAGAAGAACTTCAACGCATAAGTCACAGAACAGCTATCTAGCAACTACCGCACCTGATCGTTCAACCTTGTGGCAGTAAACATCTAGAAATAATAAGAAAAAACAGTAAATTGGTCGAAGCAATTTACCCTTATCATTTACTCTGATAAACTTTTCAAATTTAAGTCCTTCATATTTTCTCAATTACTCGACCGATTTTCAAAAACGAAGCTGGAAAGTATAGAGAATAGAAAGCCCTTTTCATTGCGGTACCACTTGACCCTCCTTTCCATTTGAAAAAAAATTGGGGGTTGACACCTCCGCTTAGAGGGTTGAAGATTTTGCAATCATTTTTGGGGCAAAAGTTGTCCCCTCACAAACAAAATTGACGTGTTTTTGAATTTTCGGAAAAAAAAATTACCCTGGCCGTTATGCCTTGCGGAATGCTTTCGATGGGCCACCCTGTATCTATACACTTGCGGTGGAGAAGTTTCATTGCGACTCCCAGAATAAAGTATGATAAAGTGTTTGTTTCGCTTCACTCATTTAATTGGAAAATACTTTAATCTTTTTAATGAGAAACTCTCAGTTAGTTGATACATTTTTTTAACATGGCAGTGTAACTTTCCATTTAAAAAAAATGACGTCGGAGTAGGCATTGAGTTTAACTATTCATTTCTTCGTAGATTTTAGCTTCTTTTACTACTGATGTGATAGGAAGTGTGGCTTTTGGCGTTGAATGTAACAGTTTCGACAGTTCTAAGTCCGACTTTCGAATCAGAGGTAGAAGTATGTTCACAGGGAACTGGTTGAGCGGTTTGAGAATATTTATTGCTAGCTTCAGCCCGGAAATTAGTAGAAAACTACGACTTAGAGGTAAATTCTAGAAATAAATTTTAGTCTAAGATCCGGCTGCAGGATTATTAAGCCGTGACCCCATTAGGTCACACGCCACACGCCACGCGTGGGATACCACGTGGGCCCAGGTGTTGCGACGTGGGAAAGATTGTACACATGAGATTTGGGACAGACGAATCGCCCATCACACGTTTGATAGCGTAGGATGGCGTGGCGTGGGGTGGCGTGAGCCCTAGTGTATACGCAACACATGTAATTAAATGGAAAAACATACACACAGATCTTCATGACGTGGGGTGGCATGGCGTGGCGTGTCGTGTGGCCTAATGGGGTACCGGCTTTACGCTCGTCATATTTTTTATCAAAACCTAATTTTTACTTATATTTATGAATAAAGCCAATCAAAAAGTTGCCGCAAATAGGGGTTGCCGTGGTTCAAACTTCTCCTATACTTTATATGGGTCCGGCAATAATGCGTCGGACATCTGTAGCTCCTGTAATAAAAAAAAATTGTGTGTGCATTATGTGCGCATATTGAAGTGAAACTTCTTTTTACTTCCCTCTGTCTGTCTGTCCGTCTGCCCCTCTGTCCATCTGAGGACTCATTCGGGTACCTCTATCCACGTGCCGAGCTTGGTTTCACTCGATCCATAATTAAGAAAAATCCTGATGATTTCGTCCATTTAGAGGCATCGCGCATCGGTTCGAAACGTGATCCTGTAACCCGTCTCCAATTATGCCGAAATCGACCCACATTTTTCTCCAATATCAAATCCCTAGTAAATAGAGAAATTTATTTATTTAAAACCCTTTTTCTGATTTTGTAAAGCCTCTGAAACGAATCACTGGCGTCATATCTTAAAAAAAGGAGTATATTATTAAGTCTGCAGTGTCAAATTGAACTGTAATAGCAAAATAAAACACTAAATCACCACAATACACCAAAACACTTTTACACTGGATGCGCGTTTTGCTAATCATGTTAGCATCATCAGCAGATGATTATAATTGGAATTTGATATCTATAGGAAAAATACCACTACACGCAGATATATTCCTAATGAATCATATCATAGTATTGAACATAAAATGGCTAGTTTAAATTTCTTAGTTCATAGATTACTTAGTTTTCCACTTTCCAACGAAAGATATAAAATAGAAAGAGATTACATTAGGAATTTAGCTGAGTGTAATGGATATTCTCCTTCACTAGTTGATAAAATAATTAGAAAACGTAGGTATAGGTTAATTATTTCTGAAATTTCGACTTTTCAAGTGGAGAAAGAAACGCAAAAATATTTTTCAATACCGTTTGATAGACAGTTATCCCGTGGTCTAAAAGGAATTTTTAAGAATGTCAATTATAAACTTGTGTATAGTGCTAATAATAAACTGCAACAATTATTAGGTAATCCAAAGGATAAAACACCTCTACTGGAAAGGTCGGGTATTTATGAAATTTCTTGTAAAGATTGTAATCAGAAATATGTTGGGCAAACTAAAAGATCAATATTAACTAGATTTAAAGAACATTTAGCTCAGATAAGATATGGTAGACCTAATAAATCTTGCGTTGCCGAACATATTGTTGATAAAGAACATTGTATAGATCTTGATAACTTAAAATTACTTAAACAAGTTTCAAATTACAGGCAATTAGATGCATATGAAAGCATCAGAATTAATAAATGTAAAAATAGTATGAACAGAGACAACGGTCCAATTCCTTCAAGTTCTTTGTTCCTACTACTCTAGTGGCGGAAATCTAACTGTTACGCTCCGTGGGTTCTGACTCGGTTGGCTAGATATTGCCACGCCCACTCTGTGCCCACTGAGCGAGTATATAAACGCTCCAATTGTAGATTGTATTTTAGCTTATAATCATCTGCTGATGATGCTAACATGGTTAGCGAAACGCGCGTCCAGTGTAAAAGTAAAAGTGTTTCGGTGTACAACCCTTAACTGTAATGAACTATAATAATCAAACTGTTTGTTTATACTCTGCTTGTTTAATCTGTCTTGGATAAATATAGTTCATACCAAATAAACTTTTAGTCACGTGATTAAGCTTGACCGGCACAGCGTTGTCCGCTTTTATATATTCTTTTAATAACAACATTTTAGGAAACAAAAATAAATTAATTATAAATATATAAACAGTTATAATTTACATCAACAAAACTCACCTTCTTAATAGCACTTAAGGGACATAAAGGGCAATTATTACCGCTTTTCCGTTCAAAATATTCTAATAAAGTTGCGATGAGTTTTTTACTGCTATTAAGCTATCTTGCACAATTCGCAATAAAAGAGGTTCTAAAAAGAACAATGTTCGACTGCAACCTGAATCCCCAGAGCGAAATTTAAATTCAAGTTAGTCAGCACGGCGCTGAATATCTCTATGGTTGGCAACAATGAATTTTAAAATCGCGCCCTCTTTTACACAACTAAAAGTTTAATTGGTATCAAATATATCTATTTTATTACTAACAATAATCAAATTTAGCAATGAAAGACCCAACGACAACATTCTTCACCGAAGTAGTGAGGAGCACGCTTGAATATAGAAAGAAGAACAACGTAAGGAGGCCAGATTTTTTGCAACTTCTTCTGGATATGCACGAAGAACCAATAGAAAGCGAGAAACACGTTACTTTTAACCAGATCGTAGCCAACACCATCTTGTTTTTCATAGCAGGTATAACAAAATAAACTACTCAAAACAATTATGGCATATTTTCTTAAAAAAATATTAATTTGAAAAACAAGACACTTTGAATTCCCTGACTTACGATTTTAAATAGTATGGATACTGTAAAGTAAAATTCGATACAATAAAGCCTACCCGCTGACTTGTAATTTTTAGTTGGCCGACTATTTAGTTGCAAAAGTGAAAACTATACATACTTATGAAGTCGATCCGCCGACTATTTGATTGCATGCGAGCGCGGCTACATAAGGATAAACCAATATGGTTACAAATATGCAACTAAATATAGTCGGCCGATTAAAAATTATCTGTCAGCGCATAGCCTACTACGCAATGTAATCAAATATTAGGCCGATCGGCTCCATACGAATGTGTTGTTTTCACTTTCTGTTTAGTTGCATAAACAGTCGGCCGACTAAAAATTACATGTTAGTGCGTACTCTAATTATCCTAAAAAAATCAAAGCACTGTTCATTAAAATGTTGTATCCTATATTATAGGGCTTGTTTATCTCTGCAATTTCCTGTCTTACAATGTACCGTTTGTGTCCAGGAAAGGTTCATAGTTTCATAGTTGTCGATTTTCGAAAGGAATCAGTACCTGTATATTATTTCCTATATTTTTCATTTTATTGATTTTATGGAAAGCACTGTTCATTAAAATGTTGTATCCTATGTTATAGGGCTTCTTTCTCTCTACAATTTCCCATCTCACAATGTACCGTTTGTGTCCAGGAAGGGTTCATAGATTTATAGATGTCGATTTTCGAAAGAAATCAGTACCTGTATATTATTTCCTATATTTTTCATTTTATTGATTTTATGGAAAGCACTGTTCATTAAAATGTTGTGTCTTATGTTATAGGGCTTGTTTCTCTCTACAATTTCCTGTCTCACAATGTACCGTTTGTGTCCAGGAACGGTTCATAGTTTCATAGTTGTCGATTTTCGAAAGAAATCAATACCTGTATATTATTTCCTATATTTTTCATTTTATTGATTTTATGGAAAGCACTGTTCATTAAAATGTTGTATCCTATGTTATAGGGCTTGTTTCTCTCTACAATTTCCTGTCTCACAATGTACCGTTTGTGTCCAGGAAGGGTTCATAGTTTCATAGTTGTCGATTTTCGAAAGAAATCAGTACCTCTGTATATTATTTCCTATATTTTTCATTTTATTGATTTTATGGAAAGCACTCATTAAAATGTTGTAACCTATGTTATAGGGCTTCTTTCTCTCTACAATTTCCCATCTCACAATGTACCGTTTGTGTCCAGGAAGGGTTCATAGTTTCATAGATGTCGATTTTCGAAAGATAAAAGAGAAAGGCAGAAAAATGCATGCTTCATTTAAAAATATGTAATAATTACTTTTATTCAAATATGCGATAATTGTTTTGAGTAGTGTAATTACAATGAAATGTTGAGAAATTAATTTCATTTTTAGGATTTGATACTTCTTCTACCACAATGAACTTTACCTTGTACGAACTGGCACGAAATCCCGAAATTCAGAAAAAAACCAGAGATGAAATTAACACAGTTTTGGCCAAACATGACGGCAAAATTACATATGAAGCGCTTCAAGAAATGACTTATTTACAACAAGTAATTGACGGTAAATATTCTAAAAAATACTACACGATAAAAAAATAATAACGTTACAGTAGGTATAGTATACCGGGTGCGTCTCAAAAGTGGATCACCCCTATAAAAATATCTTTCCAAATATGTTAGTGAGACACCCTTGTTCCATTTGAAAACATTAGGATATGATTAAAAACAAGATTTGTGTATCTTTTAACCGGCCAGGACAAGACACGAAAAACATTAGACGATCAAATTTATTTTTCCAAGGCTCCTTGATTAAAAATTTGTATTTTAACACAGCCATGGCACTCTAGATTAAAATTTTATTAAGCGAAAATGTTAAAAGTTGACATATGATACTATTCTACTCAGAGTGTCATTTTCTGCCATTTAAAAATCAAAAGTTGTCGTCATTTTCGGTGAAACAGGAATTGACCAAAAACAATTGAATGCATCAATTAATCCTAATTTATGTCATATACCAATACACCATATCTTGTATTTTTTATCTGATAAAATATAAAAGTTATAGGAGCATAGGGGTGAGCCACTTTTGAGACGCCCCCGCTATAGAGATACATAATTTTAGTTTAAAATATTATGTCTATACCAAGTGACCAGAATACAGAGCGGACACATTCTTCAAGAACAGTACTGAGACTTAATGAAATTTTTACATAAAAAAGTCTGAGTGAGTTTTAGAAAAAAAAATAGTTGGGATAAACTTATAAAAATATTTGATAACAGCGCTTTCAGATGGAGCGGAGCGTCCGCGACGGAGCGTCCGCGACTTCGAGCAAATACCATAAGTTTATATGAACAATTTCACAAGGGTCGCGTATGCTCCGTCCGACGGCTATCTTGAAAAAAAAACGGCGGATGGTCCGTCGCGGACGGTCCGCTCCATCTGAAACCGCTGTAAATCTTTGTTTTCGTTAAAAAAAATTGGGTCTTCACTATGTGCGCATATTTGAAGTAAAACTTCTTACTAACAACTATTAAATTGAAAGATTTGAAAGACATGTTTGCAAAAGTGTAGTTTGAAATGTTGACAAAGTAATAAATTAAAAAATGTATTTTTTACACATAAAAAATGGGGGTTTACGTGTAACAAATAGTTTTTTTACGTGTAAAAAACAGTTTTTTACGCATAACAAAAAGTTTTTACGTGCAACAAATACACACACCGGAAAAATCTAGGGATATCATTTTATTAAAGTTAAAAATAAATGTTTTGAATAAACAACCACATATTTGTAGGCCGATTCTTTCTACTTCGATTGAAACGAAGTAGTCACACTAGTTATTTCTAAATTTGGGATATTTGCAGAAGTGTTTGTGTGGTGTTGAAATGTATAAAAAGCACCTAGCATCAATTGTTCGAATTTAACCTGTACTGGCTATGTTTTTATGATAACTGGCCAGAATTCATTCAAATAACTCTGTTTAGTATTAAACGACATTAAGGAGCGTAGATATATTAACAGAGACGAAATGCTAAGGGCCATAGGTATGCTCGAAGCTGGAATGCGCCAAATCGACGTAGCTAGAGCATTAAATATAACGCAAAGTGTAATATCGCGATTAAGTGCACGCTACCATGAAAGTGGTGATGTTGCTGAAAAGCACACAGGGCGACATCGCATTACTACCCCTCAGCAAGATCATTTTTTACAATTAAATGCTCGACGCCAACTGACTCTTACAACACCAGAGCTTAGTTTAATTCTCCAGGAAACACATAATGTAACCGTTAGTCCTGACACTGTTCGCAATAGATTAAGAGAGGTCAATTTAAAATGCAGACGCCCCTGGAGAGCTCAACCCTTAACGAGAGGAAATCGAGAGGTACGATATTTGTGGGCTCAAGATCATGTTCAGTGGTCGAATGAACAATGGGCCAATGTTTTCTTCACGGATGAGTCACGCTTTGGAATTCATCTGGATTCGAGAAGGCTTAGGGTATGGAGAAAACCGGAAAATCTTATTCGGTTGGATCATGTTCAGGAAGTGCACCCTTATCAAGGTGAAACAGTTATGGTCTGGGGAGGAGTCCAGTTAGGCCGAAAAACCGACCTCGTTCTTCTTGAAAGGTTTCTAACAGGAATCACATATCATGATTTAATTCTTGAGCCTGTCGTGTTACCATATGCCAATGATTTTGGGAGAAACTTCATTCTCATGCATGACAATGCACGGCCTCATACAGCCAGAGTGGTAAGTGAGGTTATCAATGCTCATCAATTAAACATCTTACCCTGGCCGGCACAATTTCCTCAACCCCATCGAGCACGTATGGGACGCAGTCCAAAGAAGAATTTTGAGAATGGGTATGCGTCGTGAAACTCGTAGGGATCTGGTTCGGGCCGTGAATGCAGCGTGGCAGGCTGCACCTCAAGTAGAGATCGACAACCTGATCAGGAGCATGGAGAGACTATGTAGGGCTGTAATGAACAGTAGAGGAGGCCATAACCTTTATTAAGTAAAAATGGTTTTATCTTTTTTTTTAATTCACAGTTTAGAATAAAAAAAAGTGTGTATTTTTTTGAGTTCAATAAAAATCAAGGTAAATTTGAAAAATTCGGTAAATTTCGCATTTTTATTTCCAGTACGTCCTGTAAACTATTTGTTTATTTTAATTTTATTATATCAGAAATGCAAATAATAAAATTACTGACGATGGCTGGATAAAACTGTAATATCCCTAGACTTTTCCGGTGTGTTTAGTTTTATACGCGTTAAATAAAAAATTAATAAATAATTTGATTCACTTTTACAAAATTTGTATTAAAATATCAATATTTTTGATAAGCACGTGGACTGTTCACAAATACACGTCGCGTCACTACGTATTTCTAAGCCTGGTTACCATTAGCTCTTGTGCCACGGCCTTGATTGTTTACTGCCAGCGCGGGTAAAGAAGTTTAACTTAAAAACTTAACTAAAAAAAAACAAAAACAAAACTAAAAGATTTGAAGAGGAATAATACTTTTTAGGGTTCCGTCGTAGCTAAAAAGGATAACATTGTTCTCTAGAATTAATTTAAGAATTATATCAAATTAAATAACTTCTATGACGCCCTTATTTATTTCATCAATACAAAAGTTATTTCTTATAATATTAACATATTATAGAAAAAAACGGCGTCGAGTGACCTTTGAAACTACAATACTTGGTTATTTCAGTAAGAACAATCTTATAAGAAATTTTTCTTCTACTTTTATTTTTTCTTTCTTCATTATTCTTACTTACTTTTACCACAAATTACCTATAACAGATGCGAAAGAAAGCGACTGCATCGGAAACCGTTCGGCAAACCCGACACGCCTATTGAGTGGTGTAAATACACCAGTCGTTTAGTCCGGAAACCCATGCTGTGTCGTATTCGCTTGCTGGAGTGACATAGTGCGTGGTTATATGTTTCTTTTTAAAAACGCGTGTAGGATTTTTGTTGAACTTTTGAACTGTTATTTCTAAGTTCTGGTAATTTGTATATCTTATTTAAAATGGGATACAAATGTGTTTATTTATAAGAAAAAATAAGATATTTATAGTATAAAAAATTAATTTATTTAACAAAATTTAATTAACAATGTGACAAAATAGTTACCTTTCTATTGGTTCTATCGGACTTTTTTCGACTATATAAATCTTTATTTGTAAACTTTAATACATCAAATATTTTCAATCTAATAAATCATTTAATGATGTAAATTAGAGGAAATTTCTCACATGGGTGGTCAAATTCTATAGTTTTCATTATATCAGACAGCCTCTAAGAAATGTTTTCAACTCAAAATGCCTTTAATTATGTTTGACTACATCATTAAAAAGGGTCTTCAAATACATCAATGTGATATTTGTCTAAAATTTGCAAAAGAATCCGAATCTCTGGATAACTCGATATTATTGTTACGGATTCCGTGGGTCCACTATTTTAAACTCACGATAAAATACTTAACGAATTTATTTTCTCACTTTATACACAATTACTAACTTATAACACACAACAAACTAACTATTTATAAGATTCCTTCACCAAATTGTCCGATTTTCAATTTCCACGCGGTATATTCAAATTTCAAAAACTGTCTCAGTTGTCGATGGCTCCGGCTTATATACTCTATTGACTGCTTCTCGAAATTTCCCCAATTCTCGGAAAGCGTACTTCTTCATACCAGACAATTCTATTGTCTGATTCCCTTACTTCTCGACTTGACTAAAAGATGGCGCCTGAAAAAGTCTTTTAATTTCTGGCGGATACGTTGCGGTTGTGCAGGCAACCAGTAATACATTTTTAATTTCTGGCGGATGTGCCATTTTTCTTGACATTGCCCCCTTCTCAAATTTGATCGTCCCGATCAAGGTTTCCTGTCTGGTATCTCTTCAATCGATCCAGATGAACTACTTTCATCTTACTTTTAGGGCTGCGTTGAATCCGGTACACAACATCATTTATCCTCTTGATGACTGTATAAGGACCTTCCCATGCTGGAGTTAACTTTGGGGACCTCCCTTTCTTGCGCTGTGGGTTATATAACCATACCAGATCGTCCTGTTGAAATCCCGTAGAATTAGCTCTGAGGTCGTAACGAGCTTTCATCCGGTCACTGGCTAGCGTAATCTTACTTCTTTCTCACGGCCTTATGAATTCCCAATAACCTTTCCTTCAGTTCATCCGCGTAGTCCTCTACGTTCGTGGTGCTGTCGTCTGGTGATCCGAACACCAAGTCACAAGGCAACCGTAATTCTCGACCAAATAAAATCTTCGATGGTGAAAGTCCGGTGGTGTTGTGAACTGCACTTCTATATGCCATTAGGAATAGTGGTATATGCTGATCCCAATCTCTTTGATGTTCATCCACCATTTTCGAGATGTTCTTCAATGGTCTTATTGAATCTCTCGACCATCCCATCAGACTGCGGATGTAAAGCTGTTGTCCTAGTCTTGTGAATACCAAGCAGATCACACATCTTCTGGAACAGTCTTGACTCGAAGTTCCTTCCTTGGTCGGTGTGAAGCTCTAAAGGAATTCCAAATCTACTGAAGACATTATTGACTAATACTTCAGCTACAGTCGATGCTTCTTGGTTTGGAATGGCAAAAACTTCTGGCCATTACTGAAATAATCCATCGCCACTAAAACGTACTTGTTGCCCTTGTGCGTTTCAGGGAATGGGCCTGCAATGTCAACAGCGATTCTTTCGAATGGCAGTCTAACGTTATATTGTTTCATTTTTCCCCTAGATCGAGTGCTTGGTCCTTGGCTGGCTGCACAAATTTTACATTGTCGACACCATTTCTTGACATCTTCGCAATAATCCACCCAGTAAAAGCGATCTCTCAGCTTGCTCAAGGTCTTGTTTACCCCAAGATGGGCTCCAGTTTTACCACCGTGAATTTCTTCCAATACCTGGGTAACTTTCTTCCTTGGTACCAGTAACTGAGTTGTTACTGTGCTGCCATCCGCACTTTCCCATGTGCGCTTTAACAATCCATTCTCAATAACCAGTGAATTCCACTGAGCCCAGAGAGCTTTGAAAAACGAGGCCTCTGTCCGCAATATCCTGCCACGGTGGTCTCTCGCCGTTACCTTCCTTGAGCCGTAGTATTGCTCCGATGTCTGGATCTTCCATTTGATCTTTCCTCAATTGTATCGTCGTCCATGGTTCGTCAGTTCTAAGCTTAAAATTCTTTACTCTGATAGTGCTTTCGCGATGTTGCATTTTCTTGTCCAAGGTAGCTCGTCGTCGATCTAGGTCGTTGTCGATAATTTGTACCCGTCCTACACGGCACCCAGCGGTTTTCTCTAGTTTCCCGAACACAGTCTTCTTGGTATCACCAGGTATCATCACAATTTTCGATGATCTTTCTTCCATATTTCCTGGTCTCTTCTCTTTAGATACAGAAAATTCCTCATTTCCGATTTTCAGGATGTTTCTATGGTGATCAAACGAAAACCATGTTGACTGATCACATCCATACCCATGATAAAATCATCTTCAATGTCAGCCACCAAAACGCTATGCCAAAACTTCAAATTCCCTAACTCCAATTCCATGAAAGCCTCTCCCCGTACAACGGCCATTTCCCCCGTAACTGTACGTAAATACACTCTTCTTCTAAGAGGCATCATCTTCAATCCTTGCACTGAGTTAGCCCGCACCAACGATACCATAGCGCCAGTGTCCACTGTCATTCGGATTCCCTTTCCATTGACTTTCCCGTCGATCACCAAACTGTCAGCGGTTCTTCCCAGACTCCTAATGGAAAAAATCCTGGGGGCTCTGTTCTCCCCAGTCAATACTCGCCCCTTAGTATTGACTGATTTTAGTTTTCCTGGTGCCTACGTTCTCTGGATGGTGAACGGGATCGCATTTGAACGCGGCAATCCCGTTTAATGTGGCATTCCTGCCACATCTAAAGCACCTTATGTCCTGGAATCTTCTCTGGTTCTCTGTCTGGGTGTTGTTGACTCCCCTGTTTATTAGTAGCTCACATAGTTTGTCGACTTTCTTACACATCTCCTCCAAACCTCTGTGAGTGCTTTCGGGCTGTTCCTCGACCGTTACCGATCTTATCTTCGGCCTAGGGATGGCGCTAAAGGCAGCTTCGATTTCCAGCGCCCTGACCAGTGCTTCGCTGCTGGTGGAAAATCGGGATATTTGCAGCGCCCTCTGCAATTTCGTTGTCCCTCAGTCCGCTAATAAAGCACTGAGCAGCGAGTTCCTCCCCTAAACCCTTCCGGTGCTTCTGGGTATGCTAGGTGTACCAGCCGACGTAAGTCTGCTTCAAATTCCTGCAGACTCTCTCCCGGACCTCTGCAGGCGCGTCTTGATCTGGGCCTGGTAAAGTTGACGTCGATGTTGGTCGCCATATCTTCTGTCCAATGCAGCAACCAAAGCCTCATACTCCCTGCTGTTGGGCTGCAGGAATAGTTTGTAGCAGTTCCAGGGCAGGGCCACGCAGCGCGATGACAAGTGCCGCTGCTTTATCCTGGTCGGTCCATCCGTTGGCAGCGGCGGCTGCTTCAAACTGGCGGTGGTACATCGTCCAGGTGGTTTGTCCATCGTAGGTGGGGGCCTTGAGGTTCGCAGTCCCAGGAACGCCAGGTGTCCTTGCATGTGCCTTGGTCTTCTGTATGTCCATCTCTAATTTTTCCATTTTCTGTTGAAGGCGCTCCTCCAGATCTTCTACGACTTCTTGGAAGTGGGCCTCTTGTCTTCGTTCCGAATTTTCGAGACTTTTCTGCATGCGGTCTTGATCTTCAATTTTGTCCTTCTGGCGACGTACTTCTAAATCTTCAACAATTTTCTCCAACCGTTCTTGTCTAATTTCTTGATTTTCTAGAATTTTCTGAACACGGTCCTGTTCTTCTTGGGTTTCTCTATGACGTCGCTCCTCCAAACGAATTTCCAAATTTCCTATTATTTTCTCAAGCCGGTCCTGTTCTTCTTGTTTTTCTTTCTTTTGACGCGCTTCTAAACCTTCTAACATTTTTTTCTTGATTTTCCATAAGTATTTTCTGTAGGCGGACTTGTTCCTCTTCTTTCTCTCTTCTCATATTCTCCATAAAATCGCCCAATAATTTGCTTACTTCCTCCATTTTCTTCGCTTGCTCCCTTGTACCAACCATAAAAATACTCTGATTCGGTCTAAAAATCTTCCAATCCACTTAATTTCTTCTTAATATCCTCTTGAATCGCACTTCCGACACCAATTGTTACGGATTCCGTGGGTCCACTATTTTAAACTCACGATAAAATACTTAACGAATTTATTTTCTCACTTTATACACAATTACTAACTTATAACACACAACAAACTAACTATTTATAAGATTCCTTCACCAAATTGTCCGATTTTCAATTTCCACGCGGTATATTCAAATTTCAAAAACTGTCTCAGTTGTCGATGGCTCCGGCTTATATACTCTATTGACTGCTTCTCGAAATTTCCCCAATTCTCGGAAAGCGTACTTCTTCATACCAGACAATTCTATTGTCTGATTCCCTTACTTCTCGACTTGACTAAAAGATGGCGCCTGAAAAAGTCTTTTAATTTCTGGCGGATACGTTGCGGTTGTGCAGGCAACCAGTAATACATTTTTAATTTCTGGCGGATGTGCCATTTTTCTTGACATTATTTACTCATTTAAAAGCCTTTAATCATGAAAGTGGAAAAATTTGATCATTTTATTTACAGGCTGAAAAATTATTTATATTAAATTTTGATGAGTTTTGCACTGAAGAAAACATTCAGAGGCTGTTTGATAATGAAAACTATAGAATTTGACCAACTATGTGAGAAATTTCCTCTTATTTACATCATTAAATTATTTATTAGATTGAAAATATTTTATGCATTAAAGTTTACAAATAAAGATTTATATAGTCGAAAAAAGTCCGATAGAACCAATAGAAAAGTAACTATTTTGTCACATCTTTAATTAAATTTTGTTAAATAAATTAATTTTTTATACTATAAATATTTTTTTTTCCTAATCTCCTACGAACTGATATAATATGACGAGTAATCTATTAAATTACTGTGAGATTATATGCCTCGATAACATATTGGTGCAGATTATTTTCACCCATTGATGCGGATTGTCTATGAACTCTTTCTGAAGGTCACAAAAACCTGAACGCGGAATTCGGCGTTCTTTCGCATCTGTTATAGTTAATTTGTGCTTTTACGCTATACTGGCTCACGTTATAATAAATGTTAATATTAAATATAAAAGTTCTCGACTCATGGCCACTAATGATATTCAAAGGCTACTATGACACCGTTTTTTTTTCGTTCATAAATTGCATTGGTTTCTATTCGTATTTTTAGAGGCGATGAGACTATGGCCTCCACTAATAACTTTGGGAAGGATTTGTACCAAAGACTACATCCTTAGGGACACTGATGTCGTCATTGAAAAAGGTACTTCCGTAATGATTTCGCCTCTGGGTTTAGGCAGAGATCCGGAGTATTTCCCCAATCCGGAAAAATTCGACCCGGAAAGATTTACTCCCGAAGAAAAAGCGAAAAGGCATCCATACATCCACATACCTTTCGGCGAAGGACCAAGAAACTGTATAGGTCAGTTTTTAATCAAAAGTTTGTAGCGTTTTTTAAACCACTACCACTGCGAACGGCAGCTTTTCATCGGAGAGCAGTCGTGGATAAGGTATTTCACTAGAGAGAAAATTAATCAATAATAATAAACAAAAGATATCTAGATATTGGGCGCCAGGCATGTACAGAGAAAGAAAACACAATTGTATAATACTTAAAACTAAGACTATATTTATTCGTGACGAATTCTGATGGTGAATAGCATTGTACAATTTTAATAATTATTATAGTGGTTACCTGTTGAATAAACTATATATGTAAATAATATTAAATACGTTCTATGTAAAGACTATAAGGAAAATACAATGCGTGTAACATTAGAGAAAATATAAGAAAAGTAGCATTACTTTATTTAAATTGTTAAATTTATACGGTGTTCAATCAGATGTGTTGCAACCTGTAGATTCTAGAATCTATCTCGTCATTCATCTATTAGTATAGCGTAATAATGATGTCTATAGAAAGTAATACCATTACAATGCGTGATATTATGAAATCTAAAATCTAAATCACACTTTTTACTACTGCATTGACATAAATATTCTTAATAATCTAACCACTAAATATAGTCTGTACGCTATAGTTTAAATGTACGTTACTGTTTAAGACTGAAAACATTTTAGGTGTTAAATGCAATACTAGAACTTAAAATTACACTTAGCTGTTCTTTAATGTAACCCCTGCTTCAACCAGTAGCAGCACGAGTAGGTCTTGCATCTCTGCACTGTCTGTCGGCGATCCAGGCTTAGAAATGGGGGTGAAGCAGCACGGGGCTCAAGCCACACCCACGCTGGGGCACTCTATGTGAAGACAAATCAATCCTACAGGGGACACTTGTCCATGGGACATCCGTCCATAAGATAGTGGCACAAGAGGAGAACACTACTAGGAACTTGAAAAATAGTCCATACCTTGGACACTTGTCCGTAAGACAATGTCCGTCCGTAAGACCCTCGAAATACTCCCGAGGGCTCAATAAATAATAAACAATCTGTCCTTTCTTCCAAATGACATTCTGGAGGACAAAAGCAAAGGGACGCCAACGTGCCAGCCAAATACAAATACAAGTTGGGACATCCGTAACTCTACCCTGTAGCTTCGAAATGGCAGCTGATTCAGATTATACAGCAAGATTTAAATAATCACCATTTCTAAAAAGCTGGGATAGAACAGAGCGTCAAAACAAATTGAGGTTAAGCACGGAGAGTTGACAGCGCGCGCCTCCACAGAATAGTAACAGGATTGTGTCGAACGATCACAGGGTTGGCGACCAGGGAACGTAAAAATTACGCGTCAAATAAACTATCCGGCCCGAACGAGAGGAATCCGGTGATGATAGGCCAGACATCATATATTATATATAAAAAAAACATGTAACGAACTAAAAACGTTACACTGCCCTCCTCCGAAAAGAAAAGAAATGGACCTGTAAGGTACACTTTCTTTTTCACAAATCTGGAGATAAAAAAAATCAAAAGAAACCTACATCGTAAATTTCAGAATAGACGAAACCCATTTGAAAATTGATCAGGTTCTCAAAAAGGAAGCGGTAAACCAAAATAAAAACGAAAAGTACCAGTAAAGAATATATGATGCAGGAGATAAAAAAACTAAAGGTGTAAAATTACTAAAGTTGCTGGTCACTGGATACGCCGTAAAGTACAGAGATACTCGAGCCACTGTTCGCTAAAATAAAAAAAAATAAAAAATACGGAGGTACATCTGCTAGTATGGCACGCAAGATTAATAAATACTGCTATAGTTAGGTGTTTTATAACGATATAGGTGTAAATTATCGATAACTCAAGCTAGACAAGTGTAGACTCCAAAATACGCTATGTTCTAAAACAACGCGACTCAACAATAATTAAAGAGAACGTCGATCCATTCATGGTATCGATACGTCTCGGTTTATAACCTTGGTGATAGTTTCTGAAACCAACATTCTAGTTCATGTCAGATCAACTACGCCAGAGAAGGAACACTACACTACTAGAGCAGGTAGAGGTATACGACGGCCGGTAACCTAAAATCAAAACAACCAAACAAATTTACTGTGCAAGTACAAACCTTCTCTCGGACGGAATGAACAATACTAACAACGCCAGACAAGGAATTATATGGAACTAGAGCAGTTTAAGGTTGACGACGGTCGGTACTACAAGACCAAAACAACCAGACAAATATACTGTTCCAGCTCAAACCTTCTCTCAAACGGAATGTATCATACTAACAACGTCAGACAAGGAATTACAGACTAGAGCAACAGAGGCTGAAGAAGGCTACCCGAACCTAAACACCTCAACAGAATTTCCTCTAACTCAACCCTTCTCTCCAACGCAGTGACTGGAACCAACAACAACAAAAACCAGAGATAATCACCAAGAGACAGAACTGCAAAGAAAGATCAAAATGAAATGAATATGGAAAAATAATACCCTACATCTGTCAGCATGAGGGGATGCACTGTAGTGTACATCAACTAAAATGGGATAAATAGAGCATATCTATAACGATACCCCAAAATGACTCTACATAAAAAAATACAACTAAAAACCTTCTGAGCCTTAGCTCAGAAAGAAAGAAAAAACAAAATACGCATCGCCTAGGGTAGTTGACGGAAGGTCAACGCCCTGTCAAGCAAATGGCGACGGAACCCTAACCAGGTATGTCAATCGAATCAATTTAAAAAATGAATAAATATAGGTTTTACTTACTAAAGTAAAACCTATTAAATAGGTATTACGATGAAGTAATGCTGTACAGGTAATACCACATATGTAGTACTATTCACGTAGTACCACATAACAGGCCATCACCCACACAACACCACACACGCAATACCATATACGTAGTATGTGGATAAGGGTATGGAACGAATTTCCAACACTCTCGATGTTCTGAGACTCACATACTACGGTGGCATTTGACGGACTCTTACCGTCACGAGGAACCCGTACATGGCTATTCTTTACTGTTGAGTATGCAACTAACCAGTAGCACACTCAACTCGCCCACCATGTAGAGCGGATACAAGCCACAAGGCCACAAACCACGACCATAGGCTAGGTAATAGCCATAGATCGAAACAAAATAAAAAAACGAATGACAATATGACAATCAAACAAACTCAAAGACTTACAGAAAACTGTAAAGTCAAAAATCACAAAAATGTCAAACACGACACTGCTCAAAGCCAGACTCAAAAAAAACACACACGATTGCTAAACGCAAGTAAACTGTAGGGCTAAATAAAACTAACGAGCTAAACTAAACTATACATAAGGGACTAAAATGATGAAATTGTCTCTATGACAACTCATCAGGCAAAAACAAACTAACAACTATCTCACTGACAGTTATTCTAAACCAAAAAAATGGTGTAATTGCTCGCGAAACAATACACCTGGACTAAAAAACCAGAAAAACTAATAAAACAGAGCAATCATCATCTCGCTATGCACGCCACTAAGAAACTCAATGCATCTGCACATTCCATACAGACACTGCCAAAATTCACAAAAAAACTAAACTTGATAGATGTCCCAAGACAAAAATATCTCACAATACAAAAAGATCTGAACATGACACAAGTGTCATCAAAAAAATATCTCTCCAAATAACGAGAAAACTAGAACTCCAACTAAACTCAACCTATTGACGCGTTTTGACACAGATATAGTTCTTCGGAAACATTGCATTGGCTATCAGATCTAGTAAAAACTATTAAAACCAGGCAACAGAATCCGAGAACAGAAATGTCAAACGTCAACCCTCCATAAACTTGAGTCACAAGCGCTAAATCGCTCAAATAACTCAAAAACAATCATCATATCAAATGATGACAACACGTTAATGATCTTGGACGTCTCCAAAAAAAATCATTAACAACCAAAATGTTCACAGTAGCATCCTGCTAACTGTAAACCATAAATACGACAAATGCTCCCGCATGTGTCGTCTGCAACACTGCAAAAAAATCTAATGTCCTCCTGACATTAAATCTCTAAACGGTAAATGTCTGTATGAAAAGTTATTCGGCAACTATCATAACAGAACAAGTACCACACATTCCTTTGACACGTACATAGACAGCTGCCAAAAGAAAACAAAACGATACCTCACGTATCAAATATGACAAGTCACCCTCGTCATACACTCAAAAAAACTCAAAGGATACACTTCCTGTATCAACATAACAGTCCTAGTATAACTGTCACAACAAAAAAAACTCAAAATGTACCTAAAGTACCAAACAGGACAGTCTAACAACTGTCGATAGTAACTGACAACACTGAAGGTTCAGATGATGAAACATAGTGAATGCGATACTAAATAAAAATATTGGCATAAAAAACATTGGCATAGAAACCTGAAGGTAAACTAAACAATAAACGAGATGAGATTAACTCTAACGTACTTCTATAAGCAAAAAAATAACCCTAAATGTCAGTTTAGCAGCTCGCCCTAACAGTTATCGATAAACACAAAAACTTGTAAAATTAATTGCAATCAATTAATCAACAAAAACAAAATCAAAATGATCAAGTTGTGACCACACAGTATAGTAAAATTATCAAACACTTAGAGATATAAACAAAATCAAAGTCGAAAATTTAATGCTTGTCCACCCTGTATGGGGAAAATACAAACCAAAATGTCTGTATATGTAAAGTTTCAAACTTTATGAAATGTCAAACACCTTGAAATTTAAAAAATTTCAAAGTCACAAACAAAAATATTGACCACCCTGTACCAGGAAGTCCCAACAATAGATAAACTCTCAAGTTTATCTACCAAGAAAAAATTTTAAACAACTATTAAAAAAATTTTAACCCCAAAGAAAATTCAGGTCCAAGCATTAAATCTTGACCGCCCTGTATACCAGGTTCAAAAATATATCAAAATATCAAAACACACAGCTGACACATCTCCGTTATATGAAATTGTCCAAATTCCATAGACCCAAATAATAATAAATAGAAATATCAAAAATAAGAAAGAGAATAAAAATTTAGTCTTAAATCGTACTCAAGAAAACAACAACTGTTTCCTCGTCTGTATCATGCCAAAAAATTAAACTACAAAAATTAATTTAAGAAAGTTAATCAGGAAAATTGTCAGACTCCAGTGAAATACATTACGAGTAAAAAAATAAAACAGACTGACTGTCAACTAAACAACAAAAGTGTCAAATTAAAGGTTGTTTTATTTTCTCGAGGCCCCACGCTTATGGGTGCCAAATTAAGTGTAGCGTTTTTTAAACCACTACCACTGCGAACGGCAGCTTTTCATCGGAGAGCAGTCGTGGATAAGGTATTTCACTAGAGAGAAAATTAATCAATAATAATAAACAAAAGATATCTAGATATTGGGCGCCAGGCATGTACAGAGAAAGAAAACACAATTGTATAATACTTAAAACTAATGACTATATTTATTCGTGACGAATTCTGATGGTGAATAGCATTGTACAATTTTAATAATTATTATAGTGGTTACCTGTTGAATAAACTATATATGTAAATAATATTAAATACGTTCTATGTAAAGACTATAAGGAAAATACAATGCGTGTAACATTAGAGAAAATATAAGAAAAGTAGCATTACTTTATTTAAATTGTTAAATTTATACGGTGTTCAATCAGATGTGTTGCAACCTGTAGATTCTAGAATCTATCTCGTCATTCATCTATTAGTATAGCGTAATAATGATGTCTATAGAAAGTAATACCATTACAATGCGTGATATTATGAAATCTAAAATCTAAATCACACTTTTACTACTGCATTGACATAAATATTCTTAATAATCTAACCACTAAATATAGTCTGTACGCTATAGTTTAAATGTACGTTACTGTTTAAGACTGAAAACATTTTAGGTGTTAAATGCAATACTAGAACTTAAAATTACACTTAGCTGTTCTTTAATGTAACCCTGCTTCAACCAGTAGCAGCACGAGTAGGTCTTGCATCTCTGCACTGTCTGTCGGCGATCCAGGCTTAGAAATGGGGGTGAAGCAGCACGGGGCTCAAGCCACACCCACGCTGGGGCACTCTATGTGAAGACAAATCAATCCTACAGGGGACACTTGTCCATGGGACATCCGTCCATAAGATAGTGGCACAAGAGGAGAACACTACTAGGAACTTGAAAAATAGTCCATACTCTTGGACACTTGTCCGTAAGACAATGTCCGTCCGTAAGACCCTCGAAATACTCCCGAGGGCTCAATAAATAATAAACAATCTGTCCTTTCTTCCAAATGACATTCTGGAGGACAAAAGCAAAGGGACGCCAACGTGCCAGCCAAATACAAATACAAGTTGGGACATCCGTAACTCTACCCTGTAGCTTCGAAATGGCAGCTGATTCAGATTATACAGCAAGATTTAAATAATCACCATTTCTAAAAGCTGGGATAGAACAGAGCGTCAAAACAAATTGAGGTTAAGCACGGAGAGTTGACAGCGCGCGCCTCCACAGAATAGTAACAGGATTGTGTCGAACGATCACAGGGTTGGCGACCAGGGAACGTAAAAATTACGCGTCAAATAAACTATCCGGCCCGAACGAGAGGGAATCCGGTGATGATAGGCCAGACATGGGCCAGACATCATATATTATATATAAAAAAAACATGTAACGAACTAAAAACGTTACAAGTTTAGGAATATTTTATAGAGTTTATTATTTATTAGGCTCATCATATTTTTAATCAAAACCTAATTTTTACGTAGTTATAAATAGGGGAATACACTTTTAACAGGGCGCAAAATGTGTGTGTTTCTGTGCCAGTTTATTTTTCATCGGGGTAGATTATCAGGAGATAGCGGGGTTAAATTGTTTTATAAAGGGGTAGATTTACCCTGAATGGCCGTGTGTCACTTTGAAAGCATTTAAATCTGTTTCGATTTACTTCATAAAATACAGAGTGTTGCATTTGAAATAACGAAGTTTTTATGTAAAATAAATATTTAAAATAGATCAGCAATTTTTGGTACCCCTGTATAAATTTAAGGAAGCCATACAATTTTTCAGTAATGTTTATTTCTCTACCTTTATAGCACAAGAATTAATTCTGAAAAATAATGTACAGGGTGTTGATAGTCTATTCTATTGCAGCATGTATATTTAAATATCTTTAAATATCTTAAAAATCAAAGATTTTAAACATATTCAACCCTTATAGTAATTCTGGGCCCAAAAATCCAAAAATTAAATAAAATATCGGGTGTTCCATAAGAAAAAATATAACTTTGGTATGGATCTTAGTTCTGAAATACCCTGTATATTTCAAAATCCTCTCCTCACATATATCCATATAAATATTGTTTCTACATCTTTCCGTTTTCGTAATATTAACCGAGGCGAATGAGGTGCGCCACCCTGTATAATAGATATCTATTATATTCAAAATAATTTTAAATTTTAAATTGTGCACATTGTCTTCCAACATATACCCATAAAATATTTTGTTTCTATATCTTTCCGTTTTGTCTGTAGAAGTTAAAATATTTTTCTGAAATACCTACATCCTAATACATATCTATACTAATATACCGTATGATCGAAAAAAAATGGCGTTCAGTTGGCTTGGAAATGACGATCGATGACATTTCCCATATAATTTTACATATAAAATGACAGCGATCTTCATTTCATAGCCATCGCTGACGCCGTTTTTATTCGATCGTACGGTATAAAATCCTTGAGTGACTTACTCACTGATTAATCACGATCCTGCTCAAACCACTCAACGTAAGAAGCTCAATTTTGGTATACAGGTTGATTCTAGGGTGTAGAGGTTCGATAAGAAGGGATTTTTCGAAATTCCAGTTCCAAGAGGGTGATACCACCCCTCAAATATTACAATATTTTTATTTAAAAAAAATTATGAAAATTCTTGCTTTGCTTTATCATCACCATTACAAATGATTAATTCGAAGCGAACGAAGTCGCGGGTACACGCTAGTATGTATATCCATTAGGTTGGATCAACTCACTTGATCAATTCACATGATCTATCGAGTTTAGACGGCCATATTGCGTTCACACAAATTGAATTCAAGTGACTTGACATTTTTGTAACGCGCCTTCAAGGAAGATACTTGCAGACCAGTTATAATACGAATTCATATATTTTCAGGTCTGAGATTTGGTCTGATGCAATCCAGAATCGGTATCGTTCGAGTTTTGACCAACTTCAAACTGAGTATTAGCCCAAAAACGAAATTGCCACTGACAATCAGTTCAGAACATTTCCTATTGAAATCCAACGAGAAACTATATTTGAGGGCAGAAAAAATATAAATTTGTTTACACAGAGTGCTTTGTTATTTCTAAATACCGTATGATCGAAAAAAACGCAGTCCAGTTGACCGATACTATTGCTCCTAAAGTTTACTACATATTGATAGTGATCTTCATATACAAGCCATCTCTGACGCTTTTTTTCGATCGTATGGTACCTACATGTGATAGTTATAAGAAGATGTTATATTTTTGTAATAAGAGAAAATAAAGATTTTGATGAATTTTAAATTTTAATATATTTTGTTCTAGTTAACCGATTTTGATGATTTTTAAGCAATTTCTAGCTAAATATGGAGTCTATAGCTAAATTATTAGATTTGACTTTTTAGTGTCTCTTTCTAAATTCAAAATGAAAGTTTCCATCTCACAATAATTATACGGAGGAAAACAAAATGTTGATATTTTGGTAACTTAGATTTTGGCCAGTTAATGAACCTAATGTAAATTTCCCCAAAAATATTATTTATAAGAAAAAATTTGGAATATACTCTATATTTGTATATTTCTTTCTTCTCTTCTTTTTTTATGATGGCTCTGCTACAAGGCAACCGCCAGCTCAATTTGGGAGTGACCAAGATTATGACCAAAATGTTGACTGGCTCTAAACCATATCAAGGCCACTGATTCTTATCTTTGTAAAATGTATAATGGGTAAATTTTAATATAACTAACTTCTATGAAGGTAACCTGTGACCTGTGACTGTAAAATGTTATTATTATTATTTATTAAATATATAAATGACGTGCTGAAAGGAAGATTATATCACACACAAAGGCACATAGGATAGAGGTCACACAAACAGACTGCATTCGGAAACTGAAACAAAAAGAAAATAAAAAATAGAAAGTTGAGCATTATAATTTAATTCTATTAATGTTTAAAAATATCATAATAGTTTCTATTAATTTTTCACTTGGCTTAGACAAAACTGTAAATATTGATAGTGGAGTAGGAAAATTCATTTCAATAAATTTTTGATATAAATCCAAATGAAACAAAAAATTTATAGGACATTCTAAAAAGATATGATTTAGGTCTTCAACAGAGCCACACTCACAGAATGGATCTTCCTTCACTTTAATTTTATATAAATGGTGTTTTGTTAAGCAATGGCCTGTACGCATTCTAATTAACGTTATTAACATTAACGTTATTGTTTTAACGTTATTTGTATATTTATTATAAATTTTGCATTTTGCATTGTATTACTCCTTATGCAACCAGAGATACAATATGCATATCCAATTAACCTCAAACCTCACTTTTTGTAAAATATTTATTTTTGAAAATATCAAATATCAAAGACTAGCTCAGACTAGCTTGGAGGAAAAGCATATTTTTCCATAATAGAATAAAATGAAGCCACTTAATATTTACATTAAAGGACAATGTATGGACATGTGCCCTGCTGCAGAAATTATGTTGTAAGATAAATTAAAACATACCAAGTAATTAATTTGCGAAACTTCATATCTAAAGTCAAAGGAACGCCTTTTAGAAGAGAAAATAAACGCCTTTTACATATTTTGGAAACCCTTCCTCGTGCATCGAACAGTGAAAAACCAGTGGCAGATAGAAAGAAAGTTGTAAAATGTTACAGTCGATCAGCTGCTGGGAAAGCTATGGAAAACCCAAAATATCTGAGACCAACAAATGTTTTATTAAGAACCATAAATTATTTACTCCAGGAGTAGGCAAAGAGTATTTAACTTGATCATTGAGGAACCTTACTGAAAGTATTGTATTTTAGTGTTCTTACAAATACCAGAGTACCTTGGAATGTTACTTATGATTTTATAACCGATAGGCTACGGTCAGTCAGACAAGATATGATAATTCAAAATTTGCCAGTAATTGATTCTATTAAGATATTACAACCAATTGTTAATTTCCATGCATATGCTTCCTATAGGTGATTGTTTACAATCCATTTTTATTAATTTAGGTATGTGTACATAACTATAATTTTAAGACTATGTGAAGAGTCACTGAACCATTTTGATCCTGTCTTAAACAAAACACATTTGCAAGAATGTATTAAGAGACTATTGTGCTTATATGATGAGTATGAAAGAATTATAGAAAAAATAACCAATGACGATAAAATGGTACAGGAAAACCGGCCCCGTTTTGAAGCATTGTATGTAATTTTAAATTTAAGTAACCCAGAGTCTGTGATAAGAGCACTAAGATTGCCTGAAACATATAAGTGAGTCTTTAGAATTTGATGTTGTGTCAGTATTATAAATATTTATAATTTAGGAATAAAGATCTAAAATTGGCAATAGATGTATCGTTAAATTATATTCGAGGTAACTTTGTAAGAGTATGTAAACACTTAAGGGATCTTCAGTATCTTCTTTTAGCACTGTCATCTCTACATCTTCCAGAAATAAGAAAGTAAGACAGTTAAATTATATAAGTAAATTTGGAGGTAACATAAATATAATTTATTTTAGAAAAGTATTACAAACAATGTCAGTTGCATATAACAGTAAAAATCTTACATTTCCTTTAGAGATTTTAAAGAATCTTTTTTTGTATAACACTGTAGATGACGTGATTAGTGAGTGTAAACATTATGGACTGCATTGTGATCAAGATAATGTTCATTTTTTAAAGGATAATTTTAACCGAAACCAAACACTTGTAAGCAAAATAAAATACAGAAAATGTGTTTTTAATTTCTATATTTTTAAGGCACGGCCTACACGTCTGAATTTTTTGGATAAACAAGTAGAAGATAGGGATATTGTCCATCTTATTCTGAATATATAAATTTAATTTTCTTGCAAAACCATAGTTACTTTAGGTGTACTGTCACAATTACATTGTCATATAAGTTTTTGTCATTTTTTTATATCAAATTATAATATAGTATTATACTAATAAAATAAAACTATAAAAATATATTTTTATAATCAAGTACAGAAAAAAAGCCCATGGGAGATGGTGACTCCAAAAAAGACTTTGAGCTATGCCAACTAAAGGTAATTTTATTAACTATTTTTTTTTGTATAATTAGGTAATACTTAGGTTTATGTCTTTTTTAGAATTCTCTTGTGCCGCTCAAAAAAGTCTGCACGAGATAAAGGCTAGACAACAGCAACAAGCTAAATCACTACAAGCGCAATATAATCCTCCATCTTTTTCAGGTAAATATTAAAAGAAATATCTGGCTTAATTTTTTTTATTTAGTTACTCCAAAAGCTGTGTCCGAACAAGTTTCCATAGCGCGCACAGTGGGCAAAAATCCAGAAGTATGTTGCAAAAATTATTTTATTGTACGATTTTATTCAAATTTGGTAAAACCATTCTATGCCAGTAGCCCGTGAACCCAGTTAGTTTTGGCTGACTTGAGAGTGGGTGGGGGTGGTGGGGGGGGGATTCATAAAATGGAAAAATCATCTTTTGACTAATACAGCTACCAAAATGCGGTAAGAATATTTTACATTTAACTAAATTTTACGATTTTTGGCAGAGCCAAGATGAAACGAACAAATAGTGAGCAATTATTACTCCTCCGGCATATACAGGGTTTGTTAGGTTAGGTATATATATTGACATCCTCTGTATCTTTTTTATTCGACGTTTTCGAAAAAAGTGTCTTGAATAAAAGTTTAATGGTCTCGAATACATTTTTAAAAACAGTCTTCTTTGCATATACAGGGTGCCTTAGAAATCCTGTACGTGGCCCAACTTTCTTATTTCAAATTAGTACCCAATTTTTTATTTGATTTTTATTTTCTCCTAAAAATCCTAACTACTTTTATGTAGCATAGCCTATACCTGATTTGAAATAAGATAGTTGAACCACGCCCAGACTTTTTGAAGCACTTTGGATATGCGAAATAGACTTTTGGCAAATTTATTCAAAACCACTTTCATTTGATACAATTTTCGGAAACGTCAAATAAAAAAGATAAAGGGGGTGTCAATGTATAAAAGAAAACTCTAAGTATACTAATCCAATCGAACTTTTATTCAAGATTGTTTGTCATTTGAATAAGTTGGTTTTCTAATAATACCAGACAATATGTGAACAATATTTTATTATTATATTTTAAATAAGTAACAATATTCTGAGAATTAAACAATGACGATTTCGAAAATAACAGAACTTATACCTATTAAAAATATCTAAATTTTATTTTACCACCTACTATTTACTGATATTTTGTTTTATAACAGCTGGAAGCAATGGTCACGAAGTGCACATTTTTAAATCTGAAAGAAAAATCCATTTCATTTAATTTAAAAAATTAGGTACCTACTGTCAAAATTTGTCAATTTGTCCAAAAATGTCATTTGACATTTATGACATACCTCTTCGGAAATCTTGAGAAAAATTACCTAACTTTATATTTCAAGTTCTTCTCTAGCTACTATAATAATTAATTTATGAGAGTATCCACATAAAGGATCTTACTATACACATACGCATTGAGACATACGCTTCCAATAAGTTTAATGTTGCGATTTTTTGCGATTTTTTTGACTTAACTTTTCTAAGATAGAATATATGCCACTATCAAAAAAACCTTAAATGATTATGTTCTACTTTGACCTTTACCTAGTTTTTATCCAAAAAATCAAAATAAAAGATACTTTTTTACTTACCTTGACATTACATTTACCGCAACCGGGAATATACGTAAAACACATTATGACAATTTCACAATAATTATTGACAGCAAGCTAAGGTCGTCCAATTCAATTGTTATAATACTGTGTCACTTGAATGCAACGCCTACTATTTAAAAAATTTTAGAAAAAAGGCAGTTATTGGACACAAATTAACTGAAAATGTAGGTTTTGCGCAAAGTTCGTTTTACAGCCCCTCGAAAGAGACTCCGAATATGTTTTTTTGTTAATTTTATGTGGTTTCCTCATAACTAATATGTTTCCAATCTAATGTTATTGCCATAAATGCTAACTGTGGATGTTATTTTTTGCAACTTGGTTTGGACATCTTGCCTACTGTTGCGCGGCGCGAAAACGTTCCACCTATAAAGCCAAAAGTCCCGAGTTCAATACTTGTTCAATACCGGCTCGGGTAAACTTTTTTTTATTTTTTTCGTTTATATTCTGACAGTAAAGTATTAAATAATTCTGGTGATTAAAAAAAAACAATTATTTAATATTTTAATATCAGAATATAAACGGATCAAATAAAAAAAGTTTATCCCGAGCCGGTATTGAACTCGAGACTTCTCGCTTTATAGGCGGAACGTTTTCGCGCCGCGCTATGGAGACTTGTTCGATTTATATTCAATACTGGAATTTAACGGACTAAATAAAAAAAATATATAGGATCTTCTTTCAATGCGCAGTTAATAGTGAACGCAACGTCTATCGGCAGCCGGACGACTCGCACGCTGTTCCATAGAACATAACTAAAGATATATTAAAGAGTCAGCTTTCTTAAAATACTTTCTCGAAAACGTTGCTAGTTCTTAGGCTAAGTATATTGGATACAATTGATTTTTTTGAAAATTTTCGGCTCCCTGTGTTTTTACACTATATTGATATGAACTTTTATTTTTAATTTTTTTTGTTGGCTTTAAAATGACGACAAAATGACATTCTTAATATAATTTGCCAGGTTGCTTAGTTTAAAAAAAAACAAATGTTTTTCCAAAGCTGAGCTACAAAAATATTTCTTGTCACATCAAGCTCTACAGGGTCCGGCAACAGTGCGTCGGGCATCGTAGCTCTTAGAATAAAAACTTGGAAATTTTGTATAAGTGCACTTTATAGAGATATAGAAAAAGACCTATGTAAAGATATTTCAGTTAGATGTTACAGGGTGTTCAAAATATATTTAGGAATTTCAACTACTTAAAATTAAGGAATTTCAATTTTTTTAAATGGTACACCCTATATATTATCATTTTTTCTGATAGATTTTACCAAACTCTTCAACTTTTATTAAGAATGTCATATACTTATTTTTATTAGTTTGCGGTTTATTCCATTTTTTTCTATTTTTACCCATATTTTTAATATAATTGCGCTATAACATCATAGTTGCCATGACAAAAAGTAATAATTATCACAATTTCATGTCTGTTAAGCAAGTTAAGGACAAAATTTGAATTTTAGTTTAATTTGTTGTAATAAGTATAAATGGTAGAGATAATAGTTACAGATTTTCTTGAAATGAATTAGTCAATGTGATTGATATACACGGACAAGCTTAGAACACCACATTTTTTGGTTCAGTACTATACAGGGTTGTTCACCACATGCGACACGGAGTATTGTAGCTAAACGATGAGATTTTTACAAATTGTAAGTTTTGGGTTTGATGAAGGACTATTAGAGGTACAATTTAAAAATAATTTTACAAGATACATTATTCAATAAGTAAAAAATATCAAAGTTCTATTTTTTTAAATGGAACACCCTGTATATTATTACATTTTTGGCTTCCTTTCAGGTCACTTTACTTAATCCTAAAATATGAGTAAATATATTTCGATAACTTCAGAGATATTAATAAATAAATAATCATCATAAATGTAATAATGTATATTATTACATTTTTAGTTTCTACGATTAAAATAAAGGTAAATTTGATTAAGATTTATTATACTTAAACCTTACCGTTTTTGAAATATTTTCAATTTTGTGAAATTGCAGTAAAAATTTTAAGGCTTCATTTCTCTAAGGGTATCAAAGTTTTTAATACTAAATATTTACTGAAGTTTATTTACTGATCAGTTATTGTGTTGCGATAATAAAAATAATACTACCTTATACAGAGTGTCTAAAAATTTATTTTAAATAATTATTAGCTTCAAACGGCAATAACTTGTTTAATTTAAATGGAACACCCTGTATATTTTACGAGAATCAGATGCACAATTTAATTGTCTATCAAATTATATTATACCATTTTTTACCTATCTCTTTAAGTTTCCGTAGAAAATGCATTTTCTTGTAGTTGGGGAACCCCAAACTTACAATTTGTAAAAATTTCACCGTTTAGCTACAATACTCCGTGTCGTATGTGGTGAACAACCCTGTATATTATATAGTACTTTGCTAACTACTATAAGGATAGATGTATGTATATTATCTAGAAAACATCTTCAGTGTGTAATGGGACGGTTTCGCGGCAGTAGTAATATTGGCTTTACCAAATGAATTATAAACCAGAATTACTATGAGAAAAAACTTAATGTATGTCGAAGAAAATTCATATATCAGTAGTCTTTAGCAATTAGATAATCTAGTATTACCCTAATCTGTGGCTATTCGCCCCGACGAAAAATCCCAAGTGTCATCTTTTATAATATAGAAATACACCAAGAAATTCACTACTGCAATTTAGTTTATATGAGTAAAGTTAATTAATTTTAACTAATACCAGCAATTGTAACTAATTATGAAGCTATTTGTTAAAGGTAAGTAATAAATAGTTTTGTTTTGTCATGGCAACTATGATTTTATAGGGTAATTGTATTAAAAATATGGGTAAAAATTGAAAAAATGGGAATAAATCGCAAACTATTAAAAATAGGGATATGACATACTTAATAAAAGTTGAAGAGTGTTGTCAAATCTACCAGAAAAAGTGATAATATATAGGGTGTCCCATTTAAAAAATTTGAGATTTTTTAATTTTAAATAGTTGAAATTCATAAATATATTTTGAACACCCTGTATCATTTAACTAAAATATCTTTACATATATCTTTTTTTTCATCTCTATAAAACTCTCCTACCAAATTTTCAGAAACTTCAAGTTCAAAACTTCAGAAACAATGGCACCACTGACAATTTTTTACCACACTGCAATTTAACTTTTGCTTAAATAAATTGAAATATTACAAAAACTATTAATTTTAGGTATATAACATTATATATAAAAAAGTTATGGAATTTTACGCAGAATCTAAAAATAAAATAAAAAATAGGGTGTTGCATTTAAAAAAACATATGTTATAGCCGTCACACCTTTTTGAAGCACCTTGTATACTCTATAATAATTTTAAAATGTGTATCTTAACCATCCCTATAACTTTTATATTAAACATTTTTTTGTAAACTTTGAAACAAATGAGATAATGGACTTTACTCTATCGTTGACTCACCCTGTACTTACTTTATTATAAATATCGTAATCTTAAACCATACAGGGTATTCAAAGTTCCATATCAAACATTGTAAATTACAAAATAAGACTTTCTTTCTTTTTAAGAATATGACTTTCAACGGTAAAATACCGGAGAAAAATCATTAGGTGGTTTTGATAAAAATTTACCGTTAAATATCTTTAAATACTTTAAATACAAAAAATATTAAATTAACTCCTCATCTAGCAAAAAAAAAAAATATACACGGTATTGTATACAATATTATATTTTATATTTTAAAAGGTTTGGCATAGCATTTTGAACACCATGTATGATTACGATATTTATAGCGAAGTAAGTGCAGACTAACTAGAGTAAATATCTAGTATAGTTATCTCTTTTATTTTTAATATTTTACTTAAGAAAGACTGAAAAAGAAAAATATCTATTTTTAATTTATTTATTAATATATTTGAAACTATCTAAACATATTTATTATTAATATGTATTATCTAAAGTGATCTGAAGGGAAGCCAAAAATTCAATAATATAATGTACAGGGTGTTTCATTTAAACAAATCGGATCCACTCACACATTTTTCATTCACCCTCAAGTTCTTATTCTAGGAACTACTACCATTTTGCCGGACCCTGTATCTGTATAGGCTCAAATAATTGTATAGACATTTATTTATTTTTTAGGCACTTCAGGCTCACAAACTGCTCCGTTTTACGCACCATCGCAGCCCCAGAATATATCAGGTTAGTAAAATTGTTGTTATTCTTGTTAGTAAAATATTTTGGTTCCGCTGTATACGGCAAGATGTTTTTTTATATATGTTACAGTGAAAGTCGGAAATTCAGTGATTGTTAACATTCACAAGGAAATGCTAGCAATTACGCATTGGACCAGTAAAAGTGGTATTTTAAAGAGATTTATCGACTTTTTGTAGTTTTTTCTAACATTCACTAGTGAAAGTAACATTTACTAAAGGTTGCCAGTAAAGTATTCTATTGTACGTTGACACCGATATTAGTTTTCGTCTATATCCTATAGAAAAAGGTGTTTCCATTTAAAAGCGACGAATTTGACCCACCCTGTACAGGGCGAGTGTGTTGAAGTTTTAGAACAAATAAAACTTTTAAGAATATTGGATCACCTCAATATTGAAGCTGATCCACGTATCAAATTACAATTTACTTCTTTAGTATATTTTTTAAAAATTATAGAAAATAACGACTTAACCTTCTAAATATTAAAAGAGAAAACATAGTAAACATTTTAAAGCGTACAAAACAATTAAAAAAAATATTCATAAACATAATATTACTTACTGGTACAAGGTTTTTTAATAAAATTCTTCATCGTGGAGTATGCCCGAATTTTCTTCAACGAGAGTTATTCGTTTTTTCAAACCCGCTACTTCAAGCATATCACTACGTTTAATTTATAGTCATTAGTTTCCTTACTATATTTTTCTCTTGCACCTATAACTTTTGCTATGACTTCATTATATTGCAAAAATTAAAAACAAGCACATTCTTGCGAGTTCCTAATTTATCTTAAATTTTCACAGAAAATTTCTTCTAAAGGGAAAATATCGCACAGCACTTTTTACAACGATAACAAAACATTTATACATAACCACAAAAAACAAAGCGAATTTACGCTAGATCTCTGTCAACGTTGCCAACATTTAGCCCAATTTAATGTTATCTTTATATTGCCTATTATTCAACTTATCCTTATTTATTCCTATATTTTACAATATGTGGCAACCGCGCTAACTGAATCTTTCAAACTCATTGATATCGTCCAGGGAATGCTAGCATTCACTAGTAAAAGTTGGTTTCAAAATTAGCTGTTGAACTTTTACTGGCGTAGTCTTAGCAAATCAGTGAATGTGAGCTTTTACTAGTAATTGTTAACAATCACTGATTTCCAACTTTTACTGTAACATATACAATATGTAGGTGTTATAGTCCCTCCAAAATCTCCACAGCATTCGAATTTCCAATTTTCACCGGAACAAGCCCAAGAAAAAGGTTCCGCAAGTAACAGACCTGATTTGTCGCCCAACAAAACACACCAAGTCTACTTTTCTCAAGGTAAAAAAAAAAACGTTTATAGAACTACAGCTACTAGGGATGGGCGCTAAAAAATTGCCCACGTTTCGACGTGTATTCTCGTCGTTCCATCGAAAGGCCTGGTGGTATTCACCAGACCACGTGCCGTCTGGTGGATACCACGTTGTCTTCTAGCAAGCCAATAGAAGCTGGTGGAGTACCTCAGGGCTCAGTAATAGGCCCTATTTTGTTTCTTCTTTTTATTCACGACATTGCTAACAGAAACATCAGTGGTAAAATATGTCTTTTTGCGGACGACACTAGCTTCACTTGGAACAACAAGGACGTCACGGCACTTCATAGGATTATATCAAATGACTTAATCACCATTAAATTCAACATTTCTAAAACTAAAGCTTTGTCGTATAAAAACTCGCTGCAGCTTTTGTACTTAACAACACTTATATTTGAATCGGTTTGCCTAATACGTAAGCATGTATCAGCTTCTCAAGAAAGGCCATCTCACACTTATCCACACAGGAACGCGGAGCAAGATCTCTCTATCTACCTATTCCACGCTCAAAGTTAGTTAAAAGTTCAATATTATACAACTCGAAAAAAATCACCTGCCATTTGAAATCAAATCCATAACATCATTTTCTTCATTTCGCAAAGCATTGAAATCTTATTTACTAAACAAGGCTTTCTACGCCGTAAATGACTTATATTTTGATAATCGAATTTGATCTTGTAAACACTGATCTAATATTTGCTATTAGTATATTTACTATAAACTTACTAAATATTTTTGAATATTATTTTTATTTTTTTTAATTCTTTAACATTGTAAACATTTATGAATGTTTATTTTAAACAATAAGACTGACAATGTAATTTGTATACTTGTTTTGTATTCTCTTTTGTTATCTTTGAAAAAGACGAGAATACGCGTTGAAACGTCGGAATTTTTTAAAATAAAAGGTTGTTTATTTCCTGGTCCTAAACCTGCGAATGCCATTGGCCAACATGGTGAATATTATTACATATTAATAATAATAATAATAATAATAGTAATAAATACTCTGGGCGTTGCGAGAGAGACATTTGAATTATGAATTTTTTTTATGAAGATGCGTGTCACCAAAAATGAGCTCGCGTATCAGCCCTGTGCCATAGGTTCGCCATCACTGGTCTAGAGAAGTGACGGTATTATTCAGTTTTTTTGAAGTAGGAAAAACATAGTAGGGAAAATGCATGATGAACGCAGCGATAAACTCCACTTTCTATTTTTTAACTACCGTTGCGTTCATCCAACGGAGACCAATTTGTCAGCGGTATTTTAATAATGGTAATGGTATAATAGTATTATATAGTTCAGGGGATAGTTCAGGGGCGGATACAGGAATTTGTTTTAGGGGGGCCCAAATAAAAACTAATGTAGAATATGCTATTTTTAGTGGGCGCCATTTTTAACCCAAAAGGCTATTAAAAAATTGAAGTAGGAAAAAACATAGTAGAAAAGAAGTAGGAAAAATGCATGATGAACACAGCGGTAAACACAACTTTCTATTTTTTTAACCACCGCTGCGTTCATCCAACGGAGACCAATTTGTCAGCGGTATTTTACTAATAAAACAAATTTGCCTAACGTTATATCTCCTCCCGTCGTTGGAAGCAAAAAAACACCAAGGAAAAATTGTTTAAAATATCCAAATACAACTATTCAAGTATACTTTAGTTTTTTTTCAACAAATAAATAATAAATTGGCCTCCGTTGAATCAACGCAGCGGTGTTTAAAAAAATAACTACAATAATGTTTGGTTATAACGAACCTCATGGGACCGGCGAAAACGGTTCGTTATAAGCAAAGTTCGCAATAAACGATAAATGCTGATAAATATAAAAGATGTGGTATTTTTATTAATACAATAAAATTATATAAGGATTCTTGCCACTTAACTGCTTATATAGAAATTTAATTCTATAAGCGCCCCGGTGGTACGAAAGTACTACCATTGCACGCAGGCCGCTATCTCCCGTTCGGGACTTAATATCTAACCGACACTTTCCGACAAGTCGGAATTAACTATCTCTGCGCTGTGGTTGTCATTTTGTGGATCTGCCCAAGCTCACCTGATGATGAAGTAGGGCTCCGAAACCGGTAGTAAGAGCAGGTTGATCCACATTATGACAAACACAGCGTAGAATTAAATTTCTATATAAGCAGTTAAGTGGCAAGAATCCTTATATAATTTTATTATATACCTATACTGCAAGAAATTTGTTTTCTATTTTATTTATTAATACATAGATATGGTACATAAAATATATTTTGTAATATGGTAGATACATTAACAACTGTTCTTAAAAGTCTAGTTAAAAAAAATCTTCTATTTTAGTTTGTTTTATTTTTGTGAAATGAATATCATTAATTTATAATTCTACTTCGGCTAATTGATTAAGAACACTTTGCGGAGTATTTCGTGACTGAAGGAAATGACGAACGTTATCAATATGTTGAAGTGCCCCTGATGTGGTCGGAACTGGTCTCAATTCTGTACTCACAGGTTCTTCATCTTCCGCCTCCTCATCGTCATCAATATAAACTGAAGAAGACACAGAAACGACAATGGCATCATCATCTAAGTATTCGACACTTACAAGATCAATCATCATCATCCATATGGACAAATTCATTAAACTTATTTTCAGAACAAGGAATATTGACTGGAATATTGTTATCATCTTCTTATCCAACTTTTTTCGGCCATTCGGCTACTGTCAAGTCATCGTCTGAATTCAAATGATTTTCCAGTTTTAGGAAACAACCGTGTTGAAAACAATTAATTTTTTTTTGTTTTGGCATCCTCTGCCATGCCTATGCATATAGAATGAAGTTTATTCCATCCAAGAGGTTGATAGAAAAATTTTCACTCCCACTATCAATAAAATGTACTATTTTCCAAAGAATTCGACGATAAATACCGAAGTTCGTACCTGTAGATTTGGTTCGTTATAAACGAAAGTTCGCGATAAGCGGGTTCGTTATAGGCGGACATTACTGTATTTTATTTTGTAGATTTTCTTACTGTGTCGAAATGTCTACAAGACTTTAAAAAAATAATAATTATAGTATTATATAGTATAAGAACGTTACTCCTTTTTTATTTAAATATTTATACAATTTCATCTATCGATATAATGTTTATTTGTGTCTGCATAAATGATTCATATTAACATAAGTTAGAGAAAAATAATTATGATTCAATTTTTGGCTTTCGTTACGGGTTTTTAATTTTTTATGTGTATTTTACGTGGAAACGTATGAAAAAATTGAACCCATCCCTGACTGTGAACAAGACAAATTTATTCCTTGTTTGAATAGGGTGTCTCAGATGTTAATCGGGAAAATTTAATAGACGATAGAACTTGCAAAAATAAAACAAAAAGTTCATATCAACTTGTAAGATTTAAAGCTTCCTTTTCGAGATACAGGGTGTTAAAGTTACTTAAAAAAGAAAAAAAAATTAAGATGTTTGAAAAACTATTTAATCGATTTGGTTATAACTTGACCCGTTTATAATACTTAGGGTACGAACATAGTGGAGGCAGGTTTCTGCTTTCCGGCAACCAGCGCCGTCTCTGGGGACCTATTCTTGACCACATATCGCTCACATCTCGCATCTCCGAAAAAGCCATATAACAATACACGTGATGCGTAACTTTGCGTATATGCCGTGTATTGTTATATGGCTTTTTCGGAGATGCGAGCAGGGTTCGGAAGTAGTTAATTAAGAGGAAATTTACCTGATTAACTAACCTAACCTAACCTAACCATATCCAAACGCCGCTCCCGCCGCGCCGACCCCCCCACATAGGGGTATTTGGTCTATAAACCTGGCCAAAAGTGAAATATTTTTATTTCCATTTTTTATCTTAACTGAATACAAATCTATAAATACTAAATGTAAGCGCGTTTATTAGCTTTTTTTTAAGTCGTAAGTTGACTATCAAATAAATAATATATTTCAATTATAAGTATGAATTATCTTGAGTGTATCTGAAAATTTCTAAGATTATAAAATAGTGGAATTGTTTGTAGTGCTTTTTTTTGCAAATTGTTTATAATAACTGTCATGATGGATACAGAGCCAGCTGGCAAGTCCTGTTTTATGCCATATTTTTATTTTGAAACGTTTCCTTCTATCTATTTCTTTATAATGTTTTATATTTAAAAAATCAGAGGCATTTTTATAAGGTGTAAGACTATTCGGCAATATTCCGCATGGAAATTAGTATCCGTTCAATGCTTAAAGTCTCCAGCTTTGGAATATGTACAAAAATCTTGCCAATATTTGCCACTGCCAAAAAAAACATTGATTTAAATAGATTCTTAAAGGAAATAGTCTTTACCCTATAACACCCATCCTCGCTCAAATATCGTCTATAATATACAAATTACTTTCTTGTTCTAGCATCCTCATCCAATTGCTTGGTTTTGCACAGAATGGCCCTATTTGATCGGTGGAAAGGGTTTCAGAATAGAGGAAAAAATATTGTGTAGGAAAAACAAAATGAGGTTCCATATTAGCACCCTCTCCTCTAATAATTAATATTACTAGCAAAAAAGCAAAAAAATCATAAAACATAATTTTGGCCAACTTTTAGTTCTTAATACCCTCTGTGCGCCGTCGGCGCCTGCAAAAGCAGAAATAAATAAATTTTCGTTCCGGTAAAAGCGAGAACGCCGATGAACGCTGGTTGACGGCTCCTACCTGCTTTCACTGTGAACTAGCCGATTTGATAACACGCTTTAATTTTTCAAGGTTATAAGCGCGAGGCGGCGCGGCGCGGCGCTACTATGTAACCATATACAGGGTGTCCCAGAAATACGTGCAAGTATTTTAACTTAACTGGTAGTATAGTTCAACCCCAGAAACACGCCTATGAGGTTTTTTTCTAAATATTTTTTTTTGAAAATTCGGAATTTTTTGAAAATATTTTTGGAATTTTTTTGCAATTTTTTTTAGTTTTTATTTAAAAAAATAATTTCTTGATAATATGGCAACATAGGTAGTAGATTAAATTTATAAGAAAGAAAATCCAGAAAAGATCCAGTGGTTCTCAAACAAATCTCGAAGTATTGGAAAGAATATGTAAGGACCAAGAACTATTGACTACAATAAAACGACGAAAAGCAGCATATTTTGGTCATATTTTTCGAAATAACAAATATAGTTTCCTACAGCTGATCGTTGAGGGAAAGATTGAAGGACGACGAGGCATCGGGCGTAAACGGTTTTCCTGCATGCGGAATTTGCGCCAGTCCCATGGTTTAATATAGGAGAGGCAAGTGCAATTATCCGTTTGGCTCAAGACAGAGAGGAATTCCAATTGATGGTCGCCAACCTCCGATGAGGAGAAGGCACATGAAGAAGGTTCTCAAAATTTGAGCAAAAAATCATTTTTTTTGGAAATTTTCAAAGTAAAATAACTCCGTTATTTTGGACTTATTTGAAAAACGATAAAGAGAAAATATGTTTTTTTTATCGAGATCTACCACCCTTTAAAAAACTTGCACTTATTTCTGGGATACCCTGTTTATAACAATACACGTGATGCGTATACGCAAAGTTGCGAACGATGTCAAGAATAAGTACCCAGATTGGCGCTGGCTACCAGTAAGCGGCAAACCTGCTTGCACTGTGTTCGCACACTTACTATGGGACTTAATTTGATGTAATTAGATTTAAGTTTAATGGCCAGGGGCGGCGGTGGGGCATCACTGTTAAAGTATTTTAAAGGAAAAAATAGGCACGCCACTGCTTTTTTAGTTTAATATTATTTTTGGATTTAGTAATTAAAAATATTATTTTTTTGTCTCCTGACTTTTTTGTCTATCTTGCTTACTTCTTGCGAAAAAAAATAAGTTCTAATTGGTAATTAATATTATAATTGGTATTCTAATGGTACCTTGTATCTCGAAAAGGAAGCTTTAAATCTTACAAGTTGATATGAACTTTTTGTTTTATTTTTGCAAGTTCTATCGTCTATTAAATTTTCCCGATTAAAATCTGAGACACCCTGTATATACAGGTACTGATACAGGACCTCAAGCTGCCCAAGCAATGGAAAACGCACAGACATCTAAAATGCGAGTATCCAAATCTGGATTGTTATACACTCTGCATATGATCAGAGAACCGGTGGTCGATTATCAGGAAGCCAGGGGTGTTCCAAGAAATGAGTATGTTTAGTGTTTTTATCTCTAGATCATATTGACTAACTTGGTATAAGCGATACCAATTAAACTTTTAGTTACGTCATCGAGGACGCGATTTTTAAATTCATTGTTGCCAACCAACGGCCATTCGGCGCCGGGCTGGCTAACTGGAATTTAAATTTCCCGCTGGCGATTCAGGTGGTAGCTCTGCTGTAAAAAATGTCAAATTGCCACATTTATTTCCTGACATTGTCATTCGATTTGACACTTTTGTTCTGTATTACGAGTTTTTGGTTTAAATAAATATTGTTGTGATACTTTAAGTTTAAAAATGTTTACTAGCAGACTTTGTAGTCGAACATTGTACATTTTAGAACCTTTTTTAGTGCGAAGTGTACAGGGTAGGTCAAATTCGACGCTTTTAAATGGAAACACCCTTTTCTATAGGAGATAGACAAAAACTAATATCGGTGTCTGGAGCTCAATTTTTGTCAAAAACATGATGGTGAAAACCGCATATCGATATCTGTTACCGTTTCGGAGTTACGGGGTGTTTTTCAAAAATATGCATTTTTAACAAATCGCTGTAACTTTTTTGCTATGGAAAATTTTGTATTTTTATGAAAACATTTCCAAAGCACCTTTTTACGTGGAATTTAATGGTTTAAGTATAATTTTTTTAAAATTATTAATTTAAGAATTATCAACAGAAAATTTGATTTTTTATATGGGAAACCCTGTATATCTTTAATTTATTGAAAATAATTTAACTTTACCTTTCCAAAAATATAACACACTAGATATTTTGCTCGATTCCTCTTCGAGATATAGAGTATATAAAAATTCGCCCGCTTTAAATAAGTAGGCTTTGAGCGGCACCGGCTGTAATGCAAAAAAATTCTAGCTGTGAGCATCAATTAAAACGAAAATAATATTTGCTATGAGAGATGCAGAATTTTATAACAATTTAAAATATATTTAACCAACATCGACATATTTAAACTATATCTAATAACAATAAAAATAAATAGCAAACCAAGACATGAGATTTTGCTACAGGTGTTCGACATATCGACCGTCTTCTGTTATGGACAGACGGGGCCGTTTTTGAAAATTTATCGCGGAATTCGTTAACTCAGTGGGGGTAAAAGATACCCTCTCATAAATATTTTTAATTCTTGTCTAGATTATACGGAAGAATAAGGAACCTCATTCTTCCGTAAATATATCCATAGGATTAGATCCATGGGCACTAAGTCAGGCGGCCTCGACGGCCAACGACTGGGATCTTGGTTAGTTATCTAAATATTTTTGAAGTTAGCTGCAAAAATTTGTTGATAACTTCAGCGTTCAGAGTCGTTTTGCTGAAAAAATATGTTTTCGAGTTCCATTAAGGGCATATCATCAATAAGGGGTCCAAAGCCTACTAGTTAAAAGTGGCGAACTTTTAAAAATTCTGTATTTCGAAGGGGATTATAACAAAATATCAAGTGTGCTATATTTTTGGAAAGGTAATTTTAAATTCTTTTCAGTTAATTAAAAATATAGAGGGTGTCCCAAAAAAAATCATTTTTTCTGTTGATAACACTTAAATTATTAATTTAAAAATAATTATACTTAAACTATTAAATTCTACGTAAAAAGGTGCTTTTGAAATGTTTTCATAGAAATACAAAATTTTCCATAGCAAAAAAGTTACAGCGATTTGTTAAAAATGCACATTTTTGAAAAAAAAACCGTAATTCCGAAACGGTAACAAATATTGATTTGCGGGTTTCACCATCATGTTTTTGATGAAAATTGAGCTCCAGATCCCGATATTAGTTTTCGTCTATCTTCTATAGAAAAAGGTGCTTCCATTTAAAAGCGTCGAATTTGACCCACCCTGTACAAGATAGCTAGATAGCCGTAAAAACTTTATTAGAATATTTTGAACGGGAAAGCGGTAGTAATGGCCCTTTATGTTCCTTAAGTGCTGTTAAGAAGGCGAGTTGTTGACGTAAACAATAACTGTTTATACAGAGAAGACCAGGCTACTAGTAACATAGCAAGTTGCCGGACGAATTTACGTTTACCCGTTTTGCGTTCGTACTCGAGATTCACTACCGGCTAGTCGGCTGGTCAGGCAGTACGCAGTTGCAGTTGCGCTTGGACGGGTCGGTCGTGACAGACTAGGAATACGACGCGAGGAGTGCCGAGTATTTATTATTTTCATTTTAAGTGTTTACCTTTACTTAAGGTAACATTTAAAATAAAAATACTTAAATCTTTATTATTTCAGTGTGTTTACAAGCCAAAACTAAAAATAAATAAATTTTCTAAACCCAAAAAAAACTAAAATATTACTCTAAATAAAAAAAAGTTATAACCGTCTTCTTGTGCTAGACAGAAGCCTAGGCGGTCGTAAAATCCCCGTCTGACATTGGCTAACATATTAGGGCTAATAGTTTGGAAAGCCTCTCGTATTTTTACTTGAAGCTCATCCCGATTATTAGCCCTATTATGACCATACACTTTGGATTTTACATAACCCCACAAAAAGAAGTTATTGGGAGAAAGATCTGGTGATCTAGCGGGCCACAAAATAGTTCCATATCCACTAATTAAACTGTTGGGAAAATTATTGGTCAAATATTTGTGAACAATACGGGCATTGTGGGCAGGACAACCAACTCAGCAATTTGATTACTTGAAAACGTGGGATTTTGATCCGCGGTAGCGCAAATGAACACTTGCTTTAACTACTGTTCTTCATTAATCAACACATCAGGCTTTTTTTGTTTTTATGGGAACACGCACCCATGTGTTTCAAAATTATTAATAACTCTTGATACAGTAGGTAAAGATGGAATTGGCCTATTTACAAAAATTTGTGGAAAAATTGTTTGTATATCCCGATAAAATATCAAATATCAATGACAAATATCTACTGTTACAAAATATTATGCAGGGCAGAATTGAGGGGAGGAAGGGTATCGGCAGAAAGAAAAAATCCTGGCTCCGAAACATTAGAGAGTGGACAAATCTTGGCATTGGAGAATTGTTCCATGTTGCAAAAGACGGAGAAGAATTTAGAAAAGTGGTCGCCAACCTTCTATGAGAAGACGGCATGGAAAGAAGAAGAAGATATCCCGATAATACCTATTTTGGAAATACCAATTTACAATTTGAATTTTCTCACGAACTTCGTAAACATCCATTATTTTACTTAAAAAATAAATTTTACACGAGAACTGTCGCGAGAATCTATGTATTCGTTTTGGCTATTAAAACCATATACGTATTACTTTTTACAAATATACTCAGGTTTCCCTATTTAACCCCGTGCATTTTCTGTGCCGTAAGAAAGAGACAACATAACCCAGCTCCATATTAAAACTGCATTAGTCTATTTCACCCGGATATGGATTGAACTGCGATTGCGCCAAACTCCGATTGATTGTTGTTTTAGTTCTGTTTGTATTACTTTTTATTTGTGCGCGTAAAAGAGTGATTTTGTTTAGTTTATTGTTTCCAACTATTTTTTTATATTTTTCCAACTCCATGATAATGTGTTATAAATAATAAAAATATAAATCAAATTGAAGGTTAGGGGAAATGTCAGTGAACCACTTCCCTTTAAAAACATCGACCAATGAAAACTTCTTCAGGTGAGGCATGCTCAGTTAAATGAATATCCGGGTGAAATAGACTTATGCAGAATTCCATATTGTTCTTTCACTGTTTGGGCTTCACTTTTTGGAGATTAGGCTGAGTATATTTGTAAAAAGTAATACGTATATGATTAAAACACGAATAAATAGAAATTCTGAAACATTCTTATCACATATCTACCTAGTTTTATTTTATCGCATTTTTTCGCCTGCTTTTTATCCGGCGGACGGGTATACGCTAATTCGTCCGGTTCTGCCTATGTTACTACTACGGTGGTCCGGTCTGTATATTTTTTGTTCCCAAAAATATTTTGATTAAAAGAAAGTATTTTATAAAAGTGGGCAACGCTGTGTCGGTCAAGTTTAATCACGTGACTAAAAGTTTATTTGGTATGAACTGTACAGGGTGGACCATTTTGGTTGTTTCTATAGGGTATCTAGGAAACCGTGAGAAATATTCAAATTTTGATATTGCAGTCTCGGGTTCTTTTTTTGAAAAAATGCATATTGCAACACAATAACTGATCAATAAATAAACTTCATTAAATATTTAGTATTAAAAACATTGATACCCTTGGAGAAATGAAGCTTTAAAAATTTTACTGCAATTTCACAAAATTGAAAATATTTCAAAAACGGTAAGGTTTAAGTATAATAAACCTTAATCAAATTTACCTTTATTTTAAAAGAAAGAAACTAGAAATGTAATAATATACAGGGTGTTCCATTTAAAAAAATACAACTTTGATATTTTTTATTTATTTGGGATGTTTTAAATTGTAGCTCTAATAGTCCTTCAACGAACCCCAAACTTACAATTTGTAAAAATCTCATCGTTTAGCTACAATACTCCGTGTCGTATGTGGTGAACAAACCTGTATATTTATTTTCACTATTAATTCCAATTTATTTAAAGATATCGACTTTCGTCTTGGTAGGTCATGCCGAGCATTAAAGGAAACAAGCGAATATCTACTTTCAAATTAATCCATCTATTAGCAATTAAATAAATTCGAACAATACGAAGCAAATAAAAAACAAGTGTGACAGAAACAAAAGAACATATTTTAATACCAACTCAACAAAAATTTCAATCGGGCTTTTTAGTTAATATAAAAAATAAAAACACAAAGACTACATTAAATGTTCAAACTGCTGCCCATTATTATCTAGACGGAGTTGGCACCGTCTCTGCACGCCGCCGCTAACAGCATTTCGAATGTGTATGTTGGTTACACTTTGTAAAGCCACAACAATACTATCTTGTAACTCTTCTAATGTTCTATTTGCATTTCGATAAATTTCCTTTTTTAGAAAGCCCCAGAGAAGGGAGTGATATCAGGTGACCTAGGTGGCTAGGATTAAACTGTTTTCTGATCTTTTAAAAATGGCTGGGTTTGGTTGCTCGCGCTCAAAATACCGCTCAAAATATAAATCAGCTGCCATTTGCTTATGTTTGTTAGAGTCAATACAACATTCTAACATATTATATTTCTCAAAATTTTCAAATTTACTAATTTTTTTATTATTTAAAATACACACACTTCAATCTGTTGAAATGAAATGTCACGCATTCATCAAAGGTATGTCCCGGTCACCATGACAACCGTTTATCTTGTTACTCGGCGCGGCCTGCTACTAACTGGATATTTTAAGAAAAATTTGAAATGGTGAGGTTAATAGTGAAAATAAATATGGAGTGTTATATATTTTCGAGAAGCCCATGCCAAGCTGAATCAGGAAATTTAAGAATATACAGGGGGTTCTATTTAATAAAAATAGGTGTAGTGATAATCTAAAAAATATTTTTTTTCGGAAAAAGTCTGACTACGCCACTGCATTCTACACAGAAAAGTACCTTTAGAATGTATAATTCGTTTTTGCGTAGTTGCTGAAGTAAACCAACTATCGAACATCTTCAAAAAGTACAAAATTTGAGAATCTCCCTGTAGCTTCGAAACCGATCAAGATAGCCACGATCCGTTTGCGGCATTGTGATTTTTTCAATAAAAGAACCCGAGACTGCAGTATCAAAATTTGAATAATTCTTACGGTTTCCTAGATACCTTATAGATATATGTACATTAGTAGTATCAATACTGAGTATTAATATATTAAAAATTATCAGATTTGAATTTGTGACACCCCGTACGCTCCGTAAAAAAAGATGTGATATTATAAACATGATCCATGTTAAGCTACATGATCTAGGGATATATTCTTTGGTCGAAAAAATGCACCAAGTTGACTTGGAAAAGGCAATCGATGGAAGAGTCAATTCCAAGTCAACTCTGGCCGTTTTTTTCTTTGATCGAATGGTATAAAGTAGCGATGGGAACTATCGAATGAATTAGACTATCGAATGTTTAATGAATGAATGATTTCAACTATCGAATGTTTTTATTCGAATAAAATCATTCATTCATTTGTATACTAAAGCATATGTGACAACCTCGCCGTGCGACTAAATGGTTATCGTTGAGCCACGACTATCGAATGCTTTTGATAAATGACATTTAGTATTCGTTTGATTTTTGTATGCGTCAGTGCATTATTAGTTCTTCCAAATTTTTATAACTTCGCCGTATAAATACTGTGCTATTTTTGCGTTTATTAAAATAGTTAAAATACTAAAATAGTAGTTATTTTTAATTTTATTTATTGACGATTGTGTGCAGGTGGTCAAAATTTTTCGAAAATTTGTGTGGTTTTCCGTAGTCCGATCTTTCAATTATTTAATTTTATATGATATATGGTCTATTTTTAATGGGAAATTTTGAGAAGTTTTGAAGAATTTTTAAGAGAGATGAGATGAACTTACAATTAATTTTAAAATACATATTTGTATTTTAGATGTTTTAATAATATGAATTAGTTGAACTTAATAATCATATTTAAGTAATGTGGTTAAGTAAATGGTTATTGAACTCAAACTATGGGGTGAGAAAATTAAAATGAAAGTTTTACACGTGCCAATTTAAAAAAAAGTTAACGATGTTTGTATTTTGTTTATGCTAATTCTCTTACATGTAGTTTTTTGCGATTTCATTTATTTTTTAAAGTAAATGCCAGTAAAAGTAAATATAATTTTTCAACAGTAATATAAAGCACCTAATATAAATAATTTTGATTTCTAATTTTTTATTTATATTTTTCTTCCATTACATTGTATGCTTAGAAAATTAATAAATGTTTATATTTCATGATTTTAAAATTTGTTGTTAATATAACAAATTAGTTCTGTAATTATTATTATTATTTAATAAACCAACGTTGCCCCCCAAAAAATTTAGAGACTATATTATTTTTAAATAGGATCTAATATAAATAATTTTGACATCTAATTTGTTGTTTATATTTTGCTACTACTTAAAAAAATATTTATATTAAATGATTTTAAATTTTGTTGTTAATAGGTATAACAAATTATTACTGTTATTATTATTTATTAAACCAGTCTTTGCTTAAAAACATTAAAAATCATTTTCCTACATCCAAAATAACAAGTATTATTGCAGTGTAACAACAGAATATTAATAAAATGCAGAATATATAGACATACTATCCCTAACTAACTATCAACTAAGTCAAACAATAATATTCTTTGCTAATATCAACTAATACCAAAATATGGCAACAGCGCCCTTCATAATGTATTTTCTGTATAAATACTAGCACCTCAATAAAAAAAATAATGTGTCCTTATCTATATCTGACTCCGCAAAAAATCAAAGATGCCGGCTTCTTTCATAGCATTGCCACTGACCGCTGTCGGGTTTCTCGGAAAGAAAACCTACGTCGCCGTGCGCGCGACAACTAAAATTCAGTTAATATTTTATTATAATCGATCCTGACGAATAAATGAATTTCATAAATGAATGAATTTTATAAATGAATGGTTTTTGCTGCCGAATTACTAGAATACAATATTTCAAGGCAGATGACGGATCTATTCGATAATTTTTATTCGAATAGTTTTCAACGAATGTTTTCTTACTAACTATCGAATTATTCGAATGAATTGCAACTATCGAATGTTTCGATAGTATTCATTCGATAGTTCCCACTACTAGTATAAAGATATATTTTTTTAAAGTAAATCACTTCTTTTTGCAGAGAAGTTACCTTTGTAACGTTGGTCACATCACTATGTACCCAGGCGTACACTGCCGCCATTACGATTCTGGTAATGCTGTGGAATTTAATGCCTCTGGTGGACGGACTGGTGTATTTCTTACGTTTTTTCCTGGACAAAGTCATCGATATCGTAGAAACAGAGGACAACAAGGACAGAGCTATAAAAGGAGCCATTCTTTTCGGCGAACTCACAGTGATTTTGTTTCTAATTTTTCTCATAGTCGGGTTGATACTGATGCCGGTGTATCAGCTCATGGCGAGACTGTTTAGTAAAGTGTTTTCGATGGTAGCGTGGTAATATTTTAAAATGTTATATATTCAAATAAAAAGACGTACTTATCTGTATATATGTATATATTTTTCAACGAATTTTTATAACAAAATTATCAAATTTATACTTAGGTCAGTAAGTGAGGATAAAAATAGGGTATTACCCAACGAAATGTTAAGATATATGGAATGGGTCTGCCCCGTATCGATCGATGTTAGAATGAGACAGACAAGAAGGATAGCGATAGTCAGGGCAGAAAATGGCTTCTTGTCATTAAAACCGTGTGTTTTTGTCAGTTTTTGGTGCTTTTTGGTGATTATTACAAACATTTTTGGACCGCATAGACGATTTTTTAGTTGTATTTGTGTTGAAATGGTTGAATCTTGCAGTGCAGTGAATTGTAGCAATAGGCGACAAAGGAGGTTAAAATAAATAAAAGCTAAAATGCAAGAAAAATATATAATTTAGTTAATTTAAGTGAATTTCATAAATGATCGGTTTACTACATGTATGTATATTATATAGTCACTTACTAGCGAAAAGTTGTTCCATTATTTCACTCAATTTTTGCCCAGATCTACCGCACGCTACACAACCAACTATTTTAGAGTCTTTTTCGATAAATCGCGATAGTGTCACTGTTAATTTAAGTGCTGCCACAATTTCTATCTAGATTTACTACCTTTATATAACTATCAGTAGTAGAATAAATAATAAATAACATAAAATAAGCTTCGTAAAGACTGACAAATCCACAAAATTTCAAATCAAATTCAAATGTGTCAAATGAATCGTCAAACAGAACTGTCAAGGATCCCCACCCTAGAGTGCTTTTATGGTGCTTTTTCCGCCCACCATGCACGAATACATGGATAGCATTATGCTCCTTCCTTAGTCTTCTTATTCAAAGGAATTTACCTTTATCGTTTACTCTGATAAATGTTTAAATAAACTTCTCAAATTTCCATCCTTCATATTTTCTCAATGACTCGACCGATTTTCAAAAACGAAGCCGGAAAGTATAGAGAATAGAAAGCCCTTTTCTTTGCGGTATCACTTGACCCCCTTTCCCATTTGAAAAAAAAATGGGGGATGACACCCCCGCTTAGAGGGTCGAAGATTTTGCAATCATTTTTGGGGCAAAAGTTGTCCCCCTCACAAACAAAATTGACGTGTTTTTGAATTTTCTGAAAAAAAAAATTACCCTGGCCGTTATGCCTTGCGGAACGTTTTCGATGGGCCACCCTGTATACTGAAATAAAAAGACGTACTTATCCATATATTATGTATATATTTTTAAACAAATTTTTTATAACAAAATTATCAAATTATACTTAATTCTTTAAAGATACAACACAGTCAGTTCCGGGATATTTTGGCAGATTCAACTGATATTTTTCAGCTAGCAATGGCGGAACAAATCTGCCGCCTAGATAATGGTGTTTCCCTTTAAACGATTGAGCACATTTTTTTGGTGCTGTAAGTGATATTAGTAATTCTGGTTTGATTCCACCTTCTTCGGTTTCGCCGCTTTCAACATTCCATCCACTTGGTATATCAACACTGTAAGCAGTGAAATATACTGGGTGTTATTGAAGTCATTGTATAACTTCAGGATTAGGTTTTAAGGATATAAATTTTGAAAATAAAAATTATAAGAAAATTTATTGAGGGTGTTATGTTTGAGATTTTCACTACAATATTTTTAGTAAAATATATGCAGCTAAGAACAGCACACATTTTAAAACAAAATCATGAATACAGATGGTGATGATAAAGACATTTGTATAGAAGAGTTGTTGTATTTTTTTAAATTTCTGTAAAATATACAGGGTGTTTCAGAAAACATGTGCCATCTCTCGTGAGGAGATTCCTCACATAAAAATAAGATTTATTTTTCATATCAACATAGGTCTGATTCTGCTTTGTTTCGTAGCTACAGGGTGTTAAAGTTTTAATCTTTCAATTTATTATAATTTCCTTCCAAGTACTTTTAGTGATTCAAATGAAATTTCGAGGGTAAAAGTTACAATAATTGCTACATATTTCAATATTAAAAAAGGGTCGATAAATTCTTCAAGGACGTGTATATGCGTTATAACTGGAATATTTAAAAAAATACATGTGCGCCACTGATTTTTTTTTCTTTTGATATCAAAATTGTGTAGGCCGTCTAATGCCAATTAAAAGTTATCTCTTGATATTTTGTCAAATTTGGCGTCCTTGTATCTCATCAACGCAATTTTATTAATTAAAATTAATTAAATTAAAATAAAAATGAATTATATATTTTACCTAATTTATTATTAAATATTACTATTAGTTATTATTAGTGTTAGTCCCAACCTACAGCAATTTCAAATAAAAAATAATGGTATTTAAGGTAATTACAAAAACCTAATTTAAAAAGTTTTAACATCCTATAACTCTAAAACTATGCATTTCCATACCCAAGTTTATAAGAACCTTTTTTCATATTTTTTTATGAGGAATCAATGAACACTTATTTAAAATTTTTGCAAGTTAATGATAGATTAATTAGACTTGGACTAAGGCAAATTAATGAAATTGCGTTTATCTCACCAATGAGGCCGAAATCGACAAAATATAAAGAGACGACATTTAATCGGCATTAGCCTTCTTACACTATTTCGCTAACAAGAGAAAAAAGTCAGTGGCGTGCATTCTTTTTTTAGAAAAATATTCCAATGATAACCCATATGCACGTCCCTGGTGAATACGTCGACACTTTTATAGCATCTCCCCACGAGAGATGGCACATGTTTTATGAAACACCCTGTATAAGAATCACATGTATTGAATCTATTTTTCACTGAACACTATTACTGCCATCATATTTTACAAGTGAGAATCTCAAATGGGAAATCTGATATAGAACTTATTCTGAATATTAAGTCACCTTGTATATATTGTCATAATTGATTTACCTTGCTATTGGTAAAGAAGTGCTTTTCAATAAATCAATAACAGGCAGAAAATCACTTCGAATTGGTGGTTTAAAACTGAATCCAAAGAGAGCATCAACTATCAGTCCGTATTCATTTTCAAAATTACCAGGCTCAGGTAGCGACTAAAATGTCATTTTAGTTTATGCTGCAAAAGTTTAAAAAATAACTTACTTGCAATATGGGAATATTCATAGATTTGCATTGGTGTGTAAGATTATGATATAATTCTTTGTTAGTTTGCTTCGGGTAGTACACAACAGGGTTATAATAGAATAATTTTAAATGTCTCGCACATACTAATCCATCACCACCATTATTTCCTATAAAAACAGAATTTAATAAAATACTCAGATTTAGATACTATCTACATACCTGGTCCACAACAAATAAGAGTTGATCTACTACCACACTGATCCAATGGAAAACATTTAGTTATAGCAACTGCACAACTCAGACCAGCCAATTCCATAAGCTGGTCAACCGAATACTTGTATTCGTTGAATAGTTCAACATCTATGTTGATGGCTTCGTCTTGATTCAAGAATTTTACCATCTTTGAAGAACTACAACTGCAAAACTGGGCAAATTTAGGAGCGATCTAAAAATAAGAAAGGCTAAAAAACATAATCAAATATTCCAAATTTTCATGTTTACATTAAAGGATTTTTGTAAATGATGTAGTAATTTATGTACTATCATATTTTTAAAAATGTAGAGATTGTGTAAAAATCATACCATAAACCGTAGAAATGTTGTTTATTAATTTGTTATAAATTTTAGTACAAGAAAACCGTTCTAAAATCGGAAAAATAAATACAAAAAATGTGAGGTTATATTTACATTTTTTTATTTGACAGGTTCGGGATTAGGGATGGTGTAAAATTATGAAGAAATTCAAAATTATTTGTTTTATCCTTATTTACCAATAAATTCGATAATGCTATTTTGTAATTTTGAAATTATATTATCTTAATGTTTTTTCTGTTTCAATTCTTTTGGTTACCATCGATTTAAGCAAGTAGTCCCTAAAATTGATAAAATATATCAGTTATTTTAAAATACATGCCATCAGGTTTAGGAAAAAACTTACTTTACTCTTTTGTTGTTGGTATGAGGTACTCTATTATCTCTTGCAGATAAATAGCAAAGTGTAAAAACGACCAAAATTATTAAAATTTCCCATTTATAATTTTTTATTCTTGAAAACATAGGGATTTGTATTCTTCAACAGTCTGTCAACATACTGTCTATTCATTCAGAAAATTGAAAATGGAAATAGAAATATTTAGGATCGAGCCTTTATTTACTCAATACCTAAAATTTTTCGATACCGATAGCTGTGCCGATAGGTAAATATTGTGGTTCTCGATAAGATTAGATACTAAAAAGGAAGATTGGGGAAATATAGGTAAGTATGAGGGATTTATCAATAACAATTCTGTTATTTTAGAAAAAGTACATTGATAAAAACTGGTTTGGTAATTTTTTCAGTTTGCTTTATCGCTACTTATAGGATTTTATAGTCTAAATAAATAATAGAGGGCATGCTAAGGATTTGCAATACAGGGTGTTTGAAAAATCATGTGCCATGTCTCGTGGGGAGCTGTGGCGTTACTAGCATTTTTTTGGGCTTCTGGCCTTATATTTCAATTCTTAAAAAAACGGCGTCTAGTTGGCTGGGAAATGACGATCGATGATATTTCCCATATAAAGTGGCTCAACCCAACTTTTTTATTTTTTCAGATAAAAAAACGACATTTGGTATGTTAGTATATGACATAAATTGGGATTGATTGACGTATTCAATTGTTTTTGGTCACTTCCTGTTTCATCGGAAATGACTACTATTTTTGATTTTTAAATGGCACCCCCGGTATTTTTTTACTTGATTTGATAGAAAATATTCTGAACACCCTGTAACATCTAACTAAAATATCTTTACATAGGTCTTTTTCTATATCACAATAAAATTCTCCTACCAAATTTTATTTGTCCAACTTCAGAATCAATGCCATCATTGACAATTTTTTATCACACTGCAATCTAACATTTGTTTAAACAAATTTAAATATAACAAAAACTATTAACTTTAGTTATATAACATTATATTATAAAAAAGTTACGGAATTTTACGTAGAATCTAAAATTAAAATAAAAAATAGGGTGTTGCATTTAAAAAATCATACGTTATATCCGCCACACTTTTTTGAAACACCCTGTATACTCTATAATAATTTTAAAATGTGTATTTTAACAGTCCATATAACTTTTGTATTTAACATTTTTTTATAAACCTCGAAACAAATAAGATAATGGACTTTACTCTATCGTTGACTCACCCTGTACAAAGGAAATGCACAGGTTCATCCTTTATGTCGACATTAACCGGACATCGAACTTTAACCGTAACATATACCGTAAACGCCTACTTGTGTCAATTGAAATTTTGAGGCAAGATTTGGCAATACATCATAGAAGAAATGTACTAATCCAACTTTTATCTCTTTTTAATACATTTGATTTTCCATTAAGCTGTCAACATCACTGCCTTACACGCTGAAATCCAGACCACACTTCGGAACTGTCCCGATGTGTATACTACTACTAGCGTGTACCAGCGACTTCGTTCGCGTCGAATTAATCATTTGTAATGATGATAAAGCAAAGCAAGAATTTCCATTATCATACAAACTGGATAAAATTTTCTCACATTTATGTCAGCATGAGAAAAAACAATATGGCGATATTATTATATAACTTGGTAATATTTGAAGGGTAGTTTCATCTCGTTGGAATTTGACTTTCGAACATCTTTCGAAAAATCCGTTTGCCAAAAGCTCTTTACGTCAAGTAGTTTAAGCAGCAAACGTGGTTAAGAAATTACCCAACTTTTGAATAATTCTGTATGATTTTTTAAAATTTCTAAAATATGTAAAACCAATAAATTATGCTTTGTCCAAGCGTTTTCCCGAAAGACTAACTGTTTTAAATAAATAAATATTGTAATATTTGAGGGGCGTTTCTTGCCCCTTCCTCTTGGAATTTGAGATCTGAGAAACCTCCTTATCGAACCTCTACACCCCACAGTCAATCCGTTTGGCAAAAACCTTTGCTTTAAACGTCAAGTAGTTTAAGCAGAATCGTGATTACTCAATGGTCATATTTTATGAAACACCCTGTATAAATTTATAAAAAACCTTAAAATATGTAAAAGAACAAAACGTGTTTACGTGTTTAAGAGTTTTTCCAAAAAACTCACCGGCTTTTAAATAAAAAATATTTTAATATTTGAGGGATAATTTCATCCCCTTAGAATTCGAGTTGCGAAAAATCCCTTCTTATCTAACCTAAAGTCCTAAAGTCAATCTGTTTCCAAAAAATCAACTTTTACGTTAAGGCTTTAGTAGGATCAAGCCAGCTAATTAATGACGAGATTTTTTGAAACACCCTCTGTATACATTTTAAAAGATCTTAAAATGTGTATAAAAAAAAAATAAAATATAATGTGTTTTAAGCGTTTTTCTGGAAACTTTGAACGTTTTTTAAATAAAAAATATTGTAATATCGGAGGGGTGTTTCACCCTCTTGGAACTGGAATTTCTGAAAAATCCCTCTTTATCGAATCTCTACACCCTAGAATCAACCTTGTATGCTAAAATTGAGCTTCTTTACGTTGAGCGGCTCTTGAGCAGGATCGTGGATTAAATCAGTACGTTTTCGTCACTTAAGGATTTTATATATTAGTATAGATTAGATTAACAAAAACATTCTATATTTTAAATTTGTAGGTATAATGTATGATATTCATTACTCTTTTAGCTTCATCTTAAATATGATATTCAGTACCCCATAGAAAAGTCTTGTACACTGGAAAACAAAATGTTATAAAAAGAAAATAACATTTAATGAATGATAAAATGGTTAAAGACACGGTTAAAGATATACGTTCATTTCTTGAAAATGTCTGATTCTCTTCTGCTACTTGAATTAAATCCAAAAAATACCAAAACGTTTGAAACCAAAGCAATTAAATTGATTAGTGCCAATTTCCGGTGTCAGCTCTAAGCATACTAGATGTGTTTTTTAAGTAATTTAATTCTATATATTTTATTTTGTTGGTAAATGCTAGTATTAGGATATAACCAGGATTGGATTGATTTTGTTTTCACTAATTGCGAAAAGCTAAGATTTTTGCTCTGTTAAATAAATTTATTTTGACTATTAAAGAGCCTCATATAAGGTGGCTGTAATATGCCTTTTGTTAATTTAAAAAAAAACATTATTCCTTTATTATTTTAAAGTTGCTCTTACAGTGGCCAAAAACCCAAGACTTTTTCCAAGATACAATGTCACATAAATATAATCCAATCATATCTAAATTTATTCTTTTTTAACATTTTTTTTTGTATACAGGGTGGGCCACCGAAAACTTACAATGGCTATAATTTTTAAGTTCTAAAAAAGATATCAAAAAATAAAAAATAAAAAAAACCGTTTCTATAATATCGAGGGGAAATACATATGACGTATTTTTTGAACCACCCTGACCTATACCCTTAAGGCGGCACCACTACTCACTTGAAAATCTTAAATGGCAACACCCCCAATCTTTGTGGCGCGTTTTTGAAAGCCCATGAAAAATGCCAAAAAACGATGATCAACAGTAAAGTTTTTAGGGTGAAATTGAAAACTACCCCTTACATCGAAAAAATTAGGTGGGCATTAATGAGAAAAGTGATTTTTTCAGCATAAGTTACAAATTGCAACCCAGCTTAATGAGTTTTTCAAACTACCCTTCGACTCCAATTCTAGGTGCTGCCACCCTCAATTTCTAACCTCAGATAGCGATACCCCCAATTTTGTGATACCTCTTTGGAAAGCGTATGTACCGCTGAGTCACGTGGGTAAACTGAAACGAAGTACAACAA